AACTCTCAGAACTATTTCGTTATTATGTAGTGGTGTAAACTTCACTTAATTTTATTTCTATTATGTATTTTAGCACCGAGATAATGTCATCGTTTCCTTCATACACACGCATGAACATATTCAGTTCTTCGTACAATTTATGTCCATCAATATAGCATGATTCTCCTACCGTCTTAGATATTTGCATTGCTCCTAAAGTTCACTATCACTTATTTCTTTTATGATTCACGATTCAAAGCCTTTATTTCAAATAATACAAGAGAAAGTTTACAAAATATAAATGTATATAAATAAAGTTCTTTAAGACGGTTTTGTTGCACAGCTGTCCTCTTGTACAGCTTGCCTTTGTGGCACAAAGGCCTCCTCCAGCTGTTTCCAGTGCTTCCTTTCCCTGGCAAGTCTTTGCCACAGAGGACCAGTGTTTCTTTTTTAAAGTCATCAGCCCACCGCGCACATGGTCTCTCTCTTCCACTTGGTGTTGTAGCGAGGTGTCCATTGAGTGACTTTTTTCGACCATTTTGCTCTCTGGCCTCTGAGCAAATGTCCTGTTCATCTCCATTTAAGCCTTTTGGCTCTGGTCATTGCATCTTCCCAGTTGGTGATCCTTCGGAGATCTACAGCTCTTTTGTAGCTTTTAGTATGCTCCTTTCCATACTTCTCTGGCAAGTCACAAGCTTTTGACTTGTGACTTGCTTAGTGGTCCAAGATTCGCCGCCGTACGTTAGGATAGGTAAGATGCAGGTGTTGAAGATGCTCCTTTTGATCCTTAGTGGGTACTCTTTATTCTTTAGGATGTGTTTTAAAACCAGAATCTTTTCCAGGCATTTGAGGTTCTTCTCTCTATTTCCTGATGGGCTTGTTCTGTTATGGAGATGAGTTGTCCCAAGTATATGTAGGTTGTCACATATTCTAGGTTTTCGTTCTCTAGGATAATAGTATCTGGTGTTCTGTTTGTCATGGCTTTTGTTTTTGATTTGTTCATTGTTAAACCCACTTCTTTGCTTTTGGTTGCCAGTTCTTCGATCATAGTTTGTAGTGTTCCCGGGTTGTCAGTTATGAGCACAATGTCATCTGCAAATCTCAAATGGTTGATCCTTTCTCCATCTATGTTTATCTTCCCAGTGTAGGTTCCTGAAAACTTGTAAACTGTGTGTTGGATACACAAGTAAAGAGCTTAGGCGAAAGAGGGTCTCCCTGTCTGACTCCTTTTTTGAGTGGAAATGATTCTCCCAGCATCTCCAGCTTCACCCTGGCCTTCACCTTCACAGGCTGTAGACATTTCCGATAAGTCTAATGTATTTCCCTTCAATGCCTTGGTTTTTTAGCGCTCTCCAAATGCATGGGTGCTCCAAAGAGTCGAAAGCTTTGCTGTAGTCGACAAATGCCAGGTACAGGGGATATCAATATTCCTGGCACTTTTCGACAATTTACTTCAACATGTGGTATTGTGGAGAATCCAGACGGCTAAGGTCTTCTTTGTCTCCTTTCTTGTGGATTAGGATTATTGTGCTTTGTGTCCATTGTGTAGGTATGTATTCAGTATCCAAAATTTCATTGAAGATTTGTTAATGTTGTTAGTGTGTCCGGAAGTGCAATTTTGATTGTCTCATTTGTTATGTTGTCGGGGCCAGGGGATTTTTCTTGTCAGGATTGCATATTCGACTTCCCTTTCTAAAACAGCTGGGATAGGTTCTTCGTGTTCTGGGTCGGGGTGGCATATGTTTCTGAATTGTTGTTACATGAGTACAGTTCTTAAAGAAGGATGTTGCAGTATCAAAGTTTTAAATTTTAAAAAAGTTAGAAAAATCAATATTTTTTTGAATTTTCTTGGGTCGTTGCGCGAGGCCCCTTCAAGAGCGACGCACCGGGCTATTGCCCTGTTCGCCACCCCGTAAGGCCGCCACTGGATGGTACCTAAACTAAGGAAATTATAAGGGACCTACAGCAAAATTACACAAGAAATATGTACTAAACTTCGACCTCTTCACGTGATTTTTTTGCTTGATGGCTCGCATTTAATTGAATATTAAGCTTGCGTTTGAATAGTGAATCTGCAAATCTTGATGTTAAATTGTATTTTAAAAAATGGTCTGCCGAGGGGTTCTTGCTAATCAGTTAGAAATTAGATATAATTAGTACGGATAAAAATTTGTGTAATTTTCTTTTAAAAATTATAATAGGATAAGGTTTTCTTTTATTGTGCAATAAATAAAAGGCTTCTTCATTATTTTTTAAAATTTAGATTTCATTCAAACTCAGCTAAATTATCCAAAATTTACATAATCAAACTTATTAACTATCAGTCAGCGAATTAAACATTTAAAGTTCATACTTCGATAAGAAATGAAAAGTTCATACTACGTAAAATTTTCAAAGACAAACAGAAAAAGAATTGAGTAAATTTAAAAAAAGAAACAAAGACAGTTAAACAATTAGTAAACATAAGACTTAGCGCTTTGTATCACACATACGCGAAAATGCGATAGATTTTCTACGAGAGCTTCAAACCTTAAAGAAGGCACTTTGAACAATTTCATTCTATGAAATACATTGCTCCATAAATTTTCCATTTAGTAATAACAATATTAAAATACTCTTCCTCTTATCCCCTTTATTTAATTCCCTAGGATATTACGACCGATGTCGCAGCCATTTAAAATGATGCCTTAGATCAAGCTGAGGAGGTCTTTTCTTAAATGTTACTACAGACTACAGAGTTTTTGTCAACATGATGACTATGGATTTTCGATTCAGAGTGTCATCTGTGTACCCAGTTGCATGTCGGGGAGAACATAATATACTGACGGACTCATAAACTGCATCAAACTTCAGGATTACTTTGAAATTATATTTTTAATAAGTATGCAAACTTTTTAGATTAAATTATATAAATATGGAGACATGTCCCTTAATCTTAAAAAAAGGAATATTTAAAAATAGAACTGCAGTAAAACAAATGAATAGCCGGGAAAAGAAAATTTACTCGTAGTATCAGATTTGCGTGATTTTTAAAATTGATTCTTATTGATTTTTAATTCTTTTGACAATTGAATTATTGTTACCAGCATAATTGTTGGGTTAGCTTTTTAACTCATCGAGAGTTTCTGAACCATAATATGGATACGTCGTCCGAACAAGCTGCTCAAATTGTAGCACTGGTGCGGGAGGGCTTGGATCAACAAACGATTGGTAGAAATTTAAACCAGTCTACGGTTTATAGAATATACTGAAGGTTTGTGGAGACAGGTTCTTACAAAAGGAGACGTGGTACAGGCAGAACTAAACTTAACATCAAAACAGAGCTTAATGAAGTGCGTGGAGTAAACGTTAGTGCACGAACAATAAGAAGGTTAAAGAAAGCGGATATCACCCATTTTAGATCAGCAAATGGTCCAAAGTTGTCTGTAGCTCACAAGGCAAGCTCGCTTAAGATTTGCGCGTTATCACCTAAATTGGACAGATGAGCAATGGGCCTCCGTATTGTTCACAGACGAGTGTAGGACATGCTTATATGGTGCAGATGGTCGCAGAAGAGTCTATCGTCGACGTGGGGAGCGATATGCTCAAAGTTTCATCGAGGAGCGTGTTCCTTTTGGAGGAGGTTCGTGCATGGTCTGGGGTGGCATATCGATGAACGGGCGAACAGAACTTGTGTTCATAGACATGGTCCGTCAAAACGGTAGTAGAGGGGGTTTGACTGCACATCGCTACATAACAGAGATCTTAGAAGATCACGTGGTGCCTTACATGGGATTTATAGGCGAAAATTTTACTATAATGCAGGATAATGCCCAGCCGCACGCTGCTGCACAAGTTCGACAATATTGCGAAGAGGTTGGGATACGTACAATGAATTGGCCAGCACGCAGCCCGGATCTTAATCCCATTGAGCATCTTTGGGACAATTTAAAAAGAGTGGCACAACTAAGAACAGCACTTTCAGAAGAATGGAAATCAAATCAAATCTATGCGGAACCGATTAGAATCCATAATAAGGGCACGTGGAGGTAATATACCTTATTAAAACATAAAAAAACCCTTGCATAAATCTTGTGTCTATTGTTAAAGACAATTTTGTAATTAAACCAATTTTCTTTAAATTTCTGTTTTTCTTCAAAAAAGTTTTAAGGTCCTTTCCAGTAAGTACACAAACTTAAACTTAAGGAAATCCTACGCTATTTTAAAGTTAACGAACCAATCTAGACGTTTCAATTTAAATGTGTAGAAAGTCTGCATAGTTGGTTAAAATATTTATTTCAGTAGTTTTTTACTTTGATGCAGTTTATGAATCCGTCAGTGTACATTCGTCTAACAAAGCCATCGCTCTACAAAATAAGTATGCCAGTGCGTTAATAAAGTTTACGAACATAACGAAAAATTAATTATCGTTTAACGTAATTTTTAAGTCGTAACCACACAAATTATCGTTTCCGAATTAATATGAATCACGGACATGTGTCGTTCGAATAAAATTTGTGTAGTAACTGTACAATTGTACAGAAAATCAATACTTACAATAAGTACGATTCCTTGACGAAACTATAAAAAACGTATTTAAACGTCTGCAGTCCATTTATAATAGATAAGCAATACATAAAACACGTAAATAGTAATAAAGATAATTTTATCAAACTGCAAATGCTTGACAAAGCCTAGACATTTAATAATATCGCTTGCCCCGGGGAACTAAGTAGTAAAAGCAAAATCTATTTTTTTCAGGAAAAATAATGAAGGTATAAGGTAACAATGATTATTGTTATAGTACTTAGGACAATATATTTATCAAATGAATGCAATTATTTCATATTCGACGATTTGAATATGGTTGTATGGAAATAATTTTCGAGAATTGTTGTCTTTAGAGTGAGGTAGTTTATAAAATAAACATCTTTTATGTAATGGTGGGCTTGGAACGTTTTTACACATAAACTGAGACTTAAACCTCTTACACTTTTATAAAAACATTAAAATTTTTTACTTCAAGCCTTATTAAATGACTACTAGCTGCAATTAGTGGTGGTACTAATCACGTTGGCTTCCAATGAATCCCGAGCCAAATATGTCTTAATCGACGGAACTCCCTCTCCCGGCTGAAACTCCTTTACGAGCAACTCGCCTATGTTGAACGTGCCTTCTCTGTGGCCCTTCATATGTACACCTAGGCATTCGCACAAGAGTTGAAAATCGCACAGCTTACAGCTGATATACTCAGTATTATCTAATGGCTTATGATTCAAGGTATGGTCGTAGCACATACCATAGTTTGTAAAGAACACGTTGCATTCCGCACATTTGAAGATTTGGGATGCGTTTTCGAAATGAGCAACGTTAGAGGCCGTCGGTTGCAAAGCGGCGACGGCTTCAGGCTTTGGAGGAGATGGGACGTATTTAATTTTCTTAGCTCGTTCCACTCTATCAGATAAAATTTTTCGCTTCTTGGATTGTTTTTTATTAGATTTAATTCGTGTAATTGTGAAAGTTTCTGGAGAAGTGTAAACGCGTATTTCGAAATCTTGTACTTGCAAGTTAAACGTCTTATGATGAACAAATATATGGCGTCTGAGACTCCGAGAGCTGAATTCCAGTCCGCAGATCGAGCAGGTGTGGCTCGATTGCCTTCTTTTACTGGTCTTCGAGTGTCGTGTTAGATGACTAAGTATGGTATTTTTCACCATAAAGTACAAGTGACATATGCCACACTTGTGCAGTACTTTCAAAGCCTCCAATGGTTCCATCCCAATCGATTTGTAAACTGCTTTCTTGATATTTTCTGGAGTTTTCGCAAAGTCGTGATGTTTCGGCTCAGTCGGCTGACCACGGTTCGTTCGGCTTTCATTTATCTCCAACTTGTTACTGTCAATGTCTTCCTCGTCAGCGATTTCTATTGTTTGGATGACAAAGTCGTCTCGTTTGTATCTTTTCTTATAATGGTGGGTTATCTTATGCGCCCGTAGGAAATTCGTAGCAAAGAAATAATGGCAAATGGTACACTGAATTCTGGTATCGATATCATGACGAAGTTGGACTAAGTGACTCTGTAGCTGTTGTGGAGTAATAAAATGTACATCGCATTTTTTACATTGATATAAGGTTGGAGTCCTTTTCGTAACTGGCGTCTTGAGGGCATCTGTGGCGATCATCCTCAAAGACAGTTTATGAAGCTGTTTGTGGCTAAATTCGTTATCTTCGTTGTGCAGTTCCATGTGATCTTCAAAACTGGAACTGGATATTGTTATTCTACAAATTGAGCAGCGTTCACTCGGACCGGGCTCGTTTCCTTTGAAATGGCAGTTGAGGTTTTTGATATCATTGTAATACGTTCTACAGACTGTGCAATACCAGAGCCAATTTTTCCGGGCATTTGCAATCGCAGCTTTGCCGACATTGACGCGCGCGACGAGGTAGTTCTTTATAGAGGAGCAATTCAAATGAACGTTCAAGTGGTCTCGTAGGGATAACGTGTGGAATTTGAGCCCACATTTACACTGGGATGGTTTAAAGTCATCGCTGCACTTCTTTACGTGGTCTCGAAGTTGGTTCCATTTCAAAAACAAGAGGCCACAACTGCATTTATATAGAAAGCGTGACATTGGGTTATCTTCCATTGGCTCCTTTTGTTTGTGTGTCACTGGTTTAGCATTCGACGATTCATCAGATATGGATTTCTCTGTTTCGTGCGATGTTGGCTCATAGTCGAAAGACGTTAAATCCGGGGTGTATTGTATTATAAGAAGGTTATTTCGTGCCAAATTCGGAGCTTTCACGTGCAGCTCCATATGTTGTTTAAATGACTTTTGTGAAAATTGTAAACCACACGAGCTACACGCACGGGAATTCTCAGGTCTACAGGTATGGGCAGGTAGCTTTTTATGGGTGCATATTTTGCATTTCTTGCATTTATAGAGTCTCAGCAATTTAGTTTTACCTTGCCAAACGAGGTTACCGTTTTTGAAAGGGGCTATGTAGAATTTGTCCCACTTCTTGTGAAGCAAAATGTGCCTGTTCAACGCCGTGGGACGGTATTTCAACCCACAACGCTCACATTTCATGTATGTTTTACTTAATGAACAATTATGTGTTTTAATATTCAACAAATGTTGAATGCCGGCTTCACAACGGAGACATTTATAAAAGATGGCCGTGGATTTGGATTTGCTGTTTCTATCAGATGAATTAGAAATTCTGGACTGTTGGATCAAGCGGACGTTGAGCGAGAAGTGCTTTGGTTTATTAAATAAAATTATCCTGGTTTTGGTATCTGGTAAGTGGTGCAATTCGTGGTCATCGAGAGACTCTCGTGTTATGAACGCTAGTTCGCACGAGGAACAGGAGAATTTATCCTGGTTTTTGCACACGTCTTTGCTGTATGCGTGATCAAGAAGATGCTCTTTCTCTACGATGGCATCGCAGACAGCGCACTTATAGAGCGTATGCGTTGACGGCCCATCGTAACTCAACTCGAGCCGTAAATTTCTGTAGCAATTGTAAACACTTTTGGACAATATATGCGATTTTTGCTCATCACTTATCACTTTAAATACCTTATCCCACGACTCCGAGAGTAAATCTTCAAAATCAAACGAAAGCACGCAAAAAGAGTTCTCATCTATTTCAGCGCCGTTGTGAAGATTTTTATGTCTCTCGAAGGATTGTTTATCGAACATAAGATTGCATTTAGTGCATTTAGTGTAGTTGTCACTTGGCGTTTTTTGTTTTTTACTATATGATCTTGGCTATGTTCGACGGCCAGGTCGTAATTGTCAAAGGTGATATTGCAGCATTGACAAAGATAAACGAGGTTCCAGAGAGATTGCATGGTTAGATACTTCTGCATGATCTCAGCGTCAATATAATTAGTATTAGTGGTTTCGTGATACTGCAGATGTATCTTGTAGGCAAGCTCGTAATAATTCTCTTGGCATTCTTCGCAGTACACAGTTTTCTCATTTAAACTTTCCCGTTTGCGCTTTTCTCCGGAGTGTTTGACTGTGGAATCACCCGCAAACTTATTCCAATCGGGAATTTTTGGTTTCATAACTTCTCCGGTATGTATATCTATGAATTGTATACTATTGAGATCAAAGCTATTATTCTGATGCCCCAAAATATGGTCGGCAAAACTTTCGTGAGAAAATCGCAGACCACAGAATCGGCAAATACGAAAACTTTTGTTTTGTAGGCACACACTCGTTCTGTGGTAATCCGCATGTTTAGCAGGATCATACGACTTGCACTCGTGACAATAATACAGAAAGTTATTTTCAGTTAATTCTAGAACTTTCTGCTCGTCTCCAACGTCTTTTGGCTCCGATATCGTTTCTGTATCCTTAAACTGTAAGAAATCTTCCATTTGGTGACTTTTTCGGTCACATCTGTTTTCTTCTTTAACTTTGTGACTGTGTTTAATTTTATGAATGTTATAAGAGTTGAGCGTCGCAAACGTAATGTCACACTCGAGGCAGTAATATTCCTGAAGGGTCGTCGCTATTTTCTTAAAAAGTTTTTTGTGTTTTTTGCTTATGTGAGTATTTAAGTGTTTTATTGCCGTAGTCTTGAAGCCGCACTCGCATGAACCCGTGAAACGGAGTCTTTTGGGAGACAAGTATACGGCTTGGTGTTCGGTGTTGCAATGGGTGACATATTGCCAAATGTGTCGGTAGTAAGTCCCACAGATTGGACAAATGTAATTTAATTTTGGATTTTCTATGTGTTCATTAGATTGTCTCGAATAGCTTGTCTTGCTTTCGCTTTTAGACGTACTTTTGACCGCTATGCGTCTCGGTTGTATCGGTTTTGATGTACTTTTCAGAGCGATATTTTTTGAATGTTTAGCCGTGCTCTTGAGAGCTACGTTTTTGTACCCTTCGCCCGGTTTCGTTGTGCTCTTTCTTGCTATGTTAATTCTGTCCAACTTTGCCGTACTTTTCCGAGCTTTATTAGGGCTACTTAAAATTGTATCGTCAACATTTGTCGTACTTCTTGGATCGATATCTGAGCATATTCTATGATAAACCTTACTATGACAATTGGTTATATGTTTACAGTAAGTGTTGACCGTTTTATAATGTTTGTCCGAACACATCATGCAATTTCCATGAAAAACTTCATGAATTGGCTCTAATTTGATCGTGTCATGTTTGCTTTCTATATGTGCGAGATAATTGCGAGGCGTCTTAAAAATATAACTACAAATCGGGCATTTTTGGATAATTAGTCCTAAATCTCCTATTTGTGAGTCGTGTGTCACGACTTCTACTTCTTCTATGGGCACTAAGAGGGAATGTTCGGACGCATTGTGGGCGTTTGAAGCGGATTGAGTAGGAAGCAGAATCAAACATTCGTCACAATAAAATGGGTGTTTTTTCAATATATATCCCCAATCCTTCAATATGACCTTTGCGGAGAATGGATCTCTTTCGATCCCAAATTCAGAGACGAGACTGGTTTTAGTGACATTTGAACCGCTGTATTCTGGATTGTTATAGCCAACGACTTTTTGTGGTACGTTTGAGCCGATTATCATTTTATTTGGGATGTTTGAGCCGAGAACAATCGTGTTTTTAGTTAATAAGGAGTCTTGTTTATCGTCAATATCATCAGAACACTCGGAATCAAGAATTTCATGGATTATTGGATCTGGAAGGAAAAAATATTTTTACAATCTCATTTTCTCTGTGTACTACTACTCTTTCATCACATGCTAGAAAAACACAGAAAATGTTTTTCGTTGTTGTTTGCTGACGGAGGAATCATCACCTCTAGACTAACAAGTATTTTGCAATAATTACCATCTGTTTCAAATGCATCTTCACATTCTTCATCTTCTACAATTATTGGTTCCATGTCTACATTCCGTGTCCGTATGTCCGTCTCAAGGGATAATTCTGAAATATAACAAAAATTTCAAGAAATACCAATATCTTCCATCAAGAGATATACCTATATTCGATTTTTAGATGAAGCTACTTCACATTATACATATTATATAGCTCGGTGAAGAACTGGATAATATATCTCCGAATTTAAATATCTCCAGGCGCTAGAAACATAAACTTACGGAAAGGAGCTAGACCAAGTAGCTGCTCTTTAGTTGTTTGCTTTCTTGGTTCGGGAGTGGAGTCAAATCAATAAGCTGGAATTGAATATCAATAAATGTGCCGTAATGACATTGAGTCTTCTTTTCATATTGAAATGCCTACAATGTATCAGAAGTAACATTCAGAAAGGAAATATCAATAAGGAGTCTTGAGGGATTCGGCAGTGTGGGCAACATGAGACGCAGCACTCAGGAACGCATTCAGAATAAATTTACACGGTTTTTTATATCAATGGCTTAGTGATATTTATTTTTTCTATCCTTTAATGTATATATAACGTTGTTTGTGTTAGTTATGATTAGATACAATAAGCTAGAAGCCAGACGGGAGTCACGGCTTACCTATTACGTTATAAGTTTTTCGGAGAATTCCTAGTGTTCTAGTTCTGGTGTTCTACTGTTAAAGACAGCGGAAACAAATCTTATTTGTGGTCCCTAGGGACAATGAAGTTGCTGCAATCGCTAAGCAAATTCGCAAAAGTAACATTGAAATTTGTTTATGTTTTATAAATGAACTATAATTAAGTTTTAAATATTTTGCATTCGCCTAGCTATGTTTTTTTAAATAATAATTGCCATTATTAAAATACTTATCTTTTTAAATAATTGTTTATTGACCAAGTGACGCATTGGTGGTAATAACTGTTAAGATATACTGTTCTTTAGTTGGTAATAAATATATAAAAACATAGATTTTAGCGAAAATGTGTGTATCTTCTTCACATCTTATATACAAAACATACCATTTATTTCTTCAACCTCGGGGCATTGTACATCATCCAAAACGATTACGTCTTCACTATCTTGTACTGGGTCTGAAATATTTGACAAAAAAAAAACATATTGAAAAAAGTTGGTGTAAATATTATATCTTAGATATCTTTTAAATTAATAATAAAAATAAAATAATCAAAGTATAAAGTGGTCAATCAACTTTTAAATGTCGTTAGGTTGAATTTTTTTACAAAAAGCACAGCTAATTAATAAAAATATAGTAATTTTAACTCAAAAATTCTAACAAACCATGTTCAATCTGTCTTCTGGGCCACAAACTTTATATGATTATAAACATTAAAGATTAAAATAACCAGTTAATTTTTATTATTTATATGATATACATTTATTGCTTAATTTGTCCCCTGGACAACTATTGTTTTATACGCAACGCAAATTTTCATTAAAACAGCAATTTATTTCGCAATGTAGCAATTTATTTTGAATTGTTGTATTGATCTGTAAAAGTTCCATGAACCAGTTGTATTTTAAAAAGTAAAAAGAAATGTCAAACTTCTTTGAAGTGATACTTTTAGTGCGACTTCCAACAAAGTTGCGTTAAACGTTTACGCTCCTGGGGAGGGGGAAAAGAAAGAGACAGAGCGACAGTGAATGCTTACTATTTTCATTTCTACATTACGAGGGACTACACGCACAATTTTTTCTTCCTCTTTCTTTACGTCTAGATTGCAACATGAGAACCATGCGGAGTGGGTTCACATTCTTCTTAGGGTATATTAATTTCTTGCAAAATATATGGATTTTATTTTCGTTTTCTCTGTTCTTGTTTACGCAATTTCCAAATACTTCTGCAATTTTCTTGTTCCTCGGGTTTCACGTTTGAAATCAACCTTTTGTTTTTATGATAGCTTTCCCTTTTCTTTCTCTTCCGTTCAGCCAATTTTTCTGGGTCTGCTTTAAGTCTCTCTCTATACCGTCTTGACTTTTCTTTCTCCGACAATCCCATTCTCTAAAAATAAAATCCATTAATAATATCTAAATGTTTTAGAAATCCTTTTGCGTTATATTTGTCCCACAGACAACCAAACTGTGCTACGGACAACCAATTTCGTTGTCCGTGGGACAGTCCGTGGCTTTTTCACAAATTTGATCTGCCTACTAATGCGCTTTTGTAATTTGGCTTATCGTCAGATTTAAATATGTATAGATAAAACAGAATTTGCAGAATAATTATTTATAGTAAAATATCAATTACTTACTTATATCAGATGTTGGTCCGATAGACTGACAATAAACGCACCCACACTTTGAAACAAAACTCGGCCGATTGACGACGTGGCGGTGGCGAAATCAAAATGGCGATCGGTAGTGATCGGATAGTATTCGGCTTGTCGCCAGCTACGTGCCAAGGTCATCTATGTTTTAGTTCTCAAGTAATATACGGTTGTCCGGGTGACTTCAAGATTGTATGGGACAAAAATAAAATGTAAAAAAAATCGTATTTGAGCAAAGGAAATACATGTTTTCTTGTTAATTTTGATTCTAATAAATAATTTTGGTTTATTGATATTAATTGACTAATCGTGCTTTTTCTTTTTATTGAGTTTTGTGCTGCACTGTTGTTCAGGGACAATCTGTAATACTGTCGAAAATCGTTGTTGCGTTTGGACAGTTGTCCATTGGTTGGTTAATCAATAACGGATAAATTGCAAAAAAATCAAAGCACTTTTAATAATAGGGATGTTAATACAATTTAACCATTTAGTTTAAATATAAATTCTATAATCGGTCAGCAACAAGGTAAGTTTTCCGACATACAAATAAATGTTGATTGACCCAAATAATAAGCTATGAATGCATTTTGGTGTTTAATATTTAAAATATTTCAAGATTATAATTACCATTTCTCTGACCAAACTCTTCAAAGCATTTAGATTCTGAAGTGGCTTCTATTCTAATGTTTTTAAACACCGTTGATTCTTAAATAGAAATATAAAAATAGATTAATAATTTCAAAACTCACCTTTATTATTATTCATTAAATTAAATTATGATTTACAAAATAAATTTTTATTAGATATAATCCAAATTATTTAACAAGAAACAACAAATTTGAATGAAAACAAGAAATGGTTTATCATTTTTTGAGTTGTGTTCTCACAATCAAAAATTCAGAAAGATTTATTAATTTACTAACAATCTAAAGTATTCCATAAATTTCACAAGTTACAATTAATTATAGGAATGTGTTGTTTGTTTTAATAGCAAATAACTGGATCAATGCTGAGTCAATCAATAGTTTGGTTCAATTTATAATGAACCAACATAGATAATAAGTATGAATTTATATTTATGTTTTGCCCCCGAATATATTTAAAAATACAGCCTTTGAAATGATATACTATAATGATATACTATATTTAAAAAATATATATTTATTTTGTGGAAATATACCTTCATCATCCAGACTATAAAATTCTGTTTTTAACCATGACAGGTCAGGAAATATCTTCTTGATAGAGGGATGCTCTAATACATCATGCTCCTCAATATCTATGTCTGATGACATGATCTGAAACTGTTATATTTGTACTATGTATAATACAGTTTTTTATAGATTTCACTTATCTCAGGAGAAACACACCAGAGAGCAAAGGTATGTTCTTCCCAACAGTTAAGAAAATATTTACCTAAAGAAAGGTGTGCCCTTTCTTGACTATTACACTAAAAAAAACTAATTTAGAGTTAAAGCTTTATAGTAATAATTACAAAGTTTAGCTTTACTTAGGACTTCAATAGTAATTCTTATAATTTAAATTATGAATCAAAATGCAAGTACTGTGGTAAATTCAACGCGTGAAAACTGTTTAGTAGTAGGTAATTAAAATGTTACCTGCAAACTGTAGCTCTCACTTTGGAATTATTGACAGCACGGATGTTTTATAATTCTAGTATTATTAAAATAGTATCATAATGCACTAATATATTGACACTATTAAAAAACTTATCACACTCAGTCGGAAGTCCTCACACGTTAAGTTCTAACTGATCGACTATCTATGGTATCACAGTTCATACTAATCACCACAGAATACATTATATTATATCCTAATTACTTCAAATTAAATTGTTTAATTTCTTTGTCGAATGTCAAACGTCAACATTAAATTGGCGGCAAATAGAAATACAAGTAATTTTTTTCAATTTGTATTTAAGTTGTAATTCATATATCGTATTTCGATTAGTTTTTGTTATAGTTCTGATGTTCAGTAATTTCGTAGATTCTCTTATTTTCGTTGTTTCGTTAAGTCTTAGTAATAGAATTTGATAAGGAAAACACTGATAGAATAATGGCGAGGACCAAGGCATCTGTAGGTGCAAAGGGTAAGCACCTCAAGATATCTTAATTACTAAGTGCTAACTTATATTCTAAAGTTTATTTATAGTTTATCTACAAAAAGTTGTTATAAATTCGAATACATTTCTTGATGTAATTTGAGAGAATTAATATTAATTGTCTTTCAGTGTCTATGGGTAAAAGCAGCAAGGCAAGATGTAGTGCTGCTCCACCACCAAGTAATAGCAGTTCATCAGGTAATTACAAAGACTTTATTTGATTATTTTGCATTGGTGCATGCTTACTGATTTATAAAGCAAGTAAAGTTAAATGTTTGCTCTAATTGTCAAAGCCTTGGATCATTCATCATTACAGGTGAAAGGTCTTCTCGGAGCTATTCTGGTGGTAATCCTGTCTGTCCTCGAGATATCCCTAAGTGGCAGAAGCCAATAACAACATTTATTTTTACAAAAGAAAAAAAAATAATAGAAGATTCCGATGCTGGTAACTATTTAGTACTTTAAGTTAATTTAGTAGTCCTATAATTTCAATTACTTTTTCTCTATGTGTTTTATTAAAATAGCTGTTATGCATCTCTCATGTATAATTACATTTTTATAAAAAAAATCTAAATATTTTTGCCAGGTAGCTCAAAATCAAAACTAAAACGCCAGATCATATATTCAGATGAAGAAAGTGATGCAGAAATAAAAAATAATAATGGTGATATGAAAAATGAAGTTGATAGAAGTGACAATACTAATGAAATAGAAAATGTGGAAAGCCAAGTGTATGCTGATAGTCAAGTGTTAGAAGGCGAAGTGAAAGAAAATATAGGCAAAGAAAATGTAGACGATAAAAGTGAACTTGTTGAGAGTCAAATATATGGAGAAAGTCAGGACTATGACTTAATAGAATCACCACCAAAGAATAGGGAACTAGATGAATCTATAATATTAGAACCTCTGACTGGTGAAAGTAGTCATAAGTTAGAGGAATATTATCCAAAAACAGCAAAAAAGTCTAAAGGAGTCAGTAAAATTATCAAAGAAAATTTCAATAATAAAGTTAAACGTAACTTGGATGATGCTTATGAAGAGTCACCAAATAAAAAGATGAGAATAGAATGATAGGGACATAGAATTAAAAGAGAAATAATAATAATGAGAGGGAAAGCATAAGAGCTTTTTCAGGGACATAAGGCTCATGCGTTTTAATGGCTGTTTATAATATCTGATTTAAAATTTCAATTATAAGTTTAAATCTTCTATTTTGTTACCTTGAATTAGTTTGTAAGTAAATATTAAGTTTCTAAATAAATTTCTTTTAACACATAAAAGTTGTATGATATTTAAAGAAAAATATATATATAAATTAAGACTAGATAAAGAAAATGGCAATTTTTTTGATATACTTTATTTTCATTTACTACAATGGTTACAAAATCTTAATTATTGTGAATAGGCCAATACTTAAAACCTATTTAATAACATACTAAAATTTAAAGTATTGGCCTATAATTCACTGGAGAATATTAATTAATAATTCCAATGTTTCAAGTTTCGTGCAATAGTTGGTGTTGTGATAAGAATATCTTATACATTTTTACTGAAACTGTATACCACAAGCAAGATTATTATAAATTTTTACATAAATTCAATCGAATTTTACCTTTAAAATACACAATAGTGAGCTTCTTATAAATGATATCATTTTTTCTTTAAAAACATTTTTGTAACAAATATTAAATTAAGTTGAAATTGTATATCAGAACAAAACACTATTGTTTTATCATCAGTACCTGTTAGATAACTTAATTTTCTAAGGCATATTTCTATTTTCTCTACAATTGTAGCTTGCATTCCGAGTCAAACTTATTTTTTCTTTTTTTTTAGATTTATGAAAGGTGTGAAGCAACCAAGTGTCATTTCATTATCCACTTTTCTTTTATTACTGCAATATTTGTTTTAACTTCAAACAACTTTGGTCATCCATCCATAAGTCAGTTTTTACTTTTATTTAAAGATTAATTACAAAAACGTTGCATAATACTATCAAACAGTCTAATACTTGTCATTATTCTTAAAATCTAAGTATAATTTGAGTGTTAAAAATTATAATAGAAAATTGTACCGTCGCAAAATATCGTGAGATTGTCAACGTTGTGTCCATTGTGATCGCAATTAAATAATTATATTTAAAAAATTCATTCGACACCTTATGTATCCTTACGATCTTTTGCAACTGTACCTTACAAAGCGATGCTACATAAAAAATTTGGCTTATTATTGTTCCGATTATTTCTTATAGAATATCGTCAAGTTACACCACTTATAAAACTGTTATATCGGGTTAAAATTAACTCCTGGGACCCGTGGAAGAAGTAAATCTAAATTGACGTATCATACTTTTGCGTTTCTCGACATATTTAGTTTGTAACGTCGTACAGAATGAAATCGTGTTTATGGTGTACATTTTGAATACAATTGATTAGTTTGAAGTTACGCTATTTAAACCCGATATAACTTATTTTTAGTTTTATTGATACTCATCTTAATACCTACGATAAGCAAGATTAAAAATCACAATATTAAGAAAAATCCATATCTTCCCAAATAGGCCTCGCGGTCACTTGTCTAATGAGACCCTTTCGATTTATTAATAAATACCTAAAAATGTATCTTGAAAAAAAATACAGTTTTACTCAATTATATCGTTATTGAATATAGAAGTGATAATTTCTAACTGGCATGGCATGGTCACAGATTGTCACAACCAAATAAATTCCAAATGTTCAAAAACCGTCTTTCAAATATGTGACACACGTGTGGGTAAAAGTGCCTGCGTCGCGTCGCTACATATTTTTACAAACGATAAGAATGTAGTTTTAAATACTACAATACTGAACTAATTGTTAAGTACTACGTATGGTTTAAGATCCGGCTGCAGGATTAGTGCGCTCATCGGTTATTTGCTAAAAAACAAAATTTTTATGTATACATTTATAATTAGGAGAATGTTAATCTATATGGTAATTGTTTTTAGGAAAACATTTCGTTCACTTGTTATTTAAATAAAATATCGAGAATCACGGCAATTTAACATAAAGATTTTAAAAAATCACGAGTGCGGTTGCCCACCTGGCCGCACTTCTTCGAAGTCAGGTGTAAACAGGTATGATTTCGATACATTTATACGTTCATAACGTACATTTATTAATTATAATACATCAAATTGAAGCTATTTTTTTTGTGCCTAGTTAAATCTGGCCGCAAATAAGGGTTACCCGCTGTTAAAGATGATAAATATTTAAGGTAGAGTGATAGAGAGTTTACGCATAACATCATCAGTCAGACGAGGATAGCGAATGCCGCCTGTGCGACGCTTTTAAGCCATTGCGCATGCGTCTAATGCGTTGTGTTCTCAAACTGAATAGATGCGGCATTTTTATTCTAAGATAAAAACCACGTTATTAAATATCCATAAAAATTTGGTTTTTAGCAAATAACCGATGAGCGCACTAATCCTGCAGCCGGATCTCGTACTAGGAATATATAAATAAGTTGGGATGGTATTTAGGATTTTTTATTAGAATGCCTACCCTGCAAAAGCAACAGCCATTCCAATAACTCAATGTTCAAGACTTAATAATTAACCAACTCCAAGTCAAATCCAACTGGAATTACTTGGAGTTACAGTGTAAACTCTTTCGCTATAACGAAAAACTCTCTGTAACGCAAAAATAAGTTTATTTTGTTTGGTGTAACACAAAAGCCATACATTAATTCACTCTTTATAACGCAACAACCATTCTCTATTACGAAGGATTATTTTCATATTTAGACATCAACAACACTGAAGTGTAATTGTTTTTATAATCAGCTTACAAAAGTAACCTATTGAGGTGCCGAAATTTCCAAGAAAGACTCTTGAGGTCAATAACAGCGTTTGTTATTGTTATTATTGCATTAACACGTGAGCCATTATTCTTAGAAAACATAGCCCGTCATGGCAAAACACGTAAGGAAAAGTTTTTAAGATTAACCAATGGATAGTAATAAAATTAGAAATTATTGTAATTGGTTAAATTTGTTTTTTCTCTTCCTTCCATATAACGAAAAAAAAGAAAATGAAATTGGTTATTAAGAGTTTTCACTGTATTCACGAAACTTAATATCGTTATCAAAATTTCTTATTTATATATTTCGTAGTATAAGCTAAAAAATAGTAACCTTAGTTAAGCCGCCGAAATTAATCTAAAAAAATCTTGTCTTATAAAATTACACTTACAAAATGGGTGTGTAAAAGTTACTAAATGTAGCTCTCACAGTACCCTCAGTACAAACGTTGTCGAAATGAGAGAGTCAATCATCTATACAATTATGTCATCTGTCAAACGTTTATGTCAGTTGTCGATACGATGAAATAATTTGGCAAAACCTTAATGTCAGTATGAATATACATGTGGCATCGATACAATGATGATTCTGTTTAGCTCGAAGTGCGTGTGCCATTTTGCGTATTGTCTATGCTAAGGATACAATTCTTGATTCTTGAATATACTTAGAATATTTTGAAAAGCACTTTCTTCAATAAATAAACAAACTTACATTGTTTAACCGACTCGACGCTTTTAATTTCTATTAATAAGAGGTTAAGTATTTAGACAGACTAAATACAAAAAATAGAGAAAAGTTTGACTAATCAAATCTAAGAATTTAAGGAAAACAATATTGAAAAGTTATTATAAATATTGAGCTACCGTTATTATTGAAATCGACAATATTGTCTAAATTGAGTAGATACTTGAAGTATTATAAAATTAGTTCTAATTAATAAATATCCTGTAAGTGACCTGAAACAAAATAATCTTATTAAAAAGCTATTAATAATTACGAAATAATGTGTTTCGATGTCTCGTTTTAATATTTAAAAAAAAAATCCCCCTTCCCCTTTGAAATTCACTTAGTAAGTCTCATTCTCAGAACTTGGCCAGATTTTGCTGGGTGGTAAAATTGTCTAACACATCTCAAATATAAAAAGCTCCGGCGCATCTTATTCTCTATTCAACATATTAACATTGCAACCTCTATACCAGGCCCTAAGAGTATTCAAATCATAATTATTGGACCAAACTCACGTTCAAACATTGTCAGCGGGGCTCTGAAACTCCGCGAGAGCGTGGATGGGACTGGGCTGTTTCTTCTGGCTTCCGCGACGGACCTTCGCCCGCACCTCTTCGGGTTTCTCTGGTCTGATCAACGGCTTCTTCTCAGGCGCTTTCATACGCCACACCACGATCGGGGACTAATCAAACAGTAAATTATTCAATGGAAAACTCGACGGGTCAGAGGGCAGACATTTCTGCATTGGTCCTTCGAATCGGAGTGTAAGAATTTTAAAAACCTCACGCAGAAATATTACTGTCCCATGTCCTCTATTAGGTGTTTCATATTTATTTGTAAGAATAGAAAATAAAGAGTAAGTATACGAGACAGATAGAATAAATATAAAAAAGCGTGCAGCTGATTGTAACGAAAACCCTGTACTTTCAAGCATTATTTTTTATTTCTTAGTGATTTTTTAATTTTTATCGTTTTTATCACGTTTTTACAGGACTTTAGTTACACACTAAAGGAAATGCAATATATGAGCTACCGAAATGGAATAAACAACTAATTAATGCATTGTCTGTGCTTTATTCATGCTCCATATAATAAAAGTATAAATCTTAGGAAGCTCGGTTGTTTAACTGTTAAAAAAGCATTAATACAAGTATAATTTTATCACAAACATAATATGTTATTGCATACTTTCATGAAAGAAGATCTGTTTGTTTTAAGCATAGAAATGATAAACTCAAATACCACAGGCTACTTTTTGTTTCCAAAAAAGCCTTGGATTATAGATTTAACTATTGTAAAATACAATCATAGATTAATAGTGTAATTCAAGTGCCTCGTACACTAGCACTTACATAGTTGGTCTGTCCAGCGAGCAAGCGGGATACAAATGTAATTAGCATTTAGCCATAAGCAAAGCTGTTTACTTTATATACATAATATTATTTTTATTAGTAATTTTAAAATTCTTTATTTGGTCAGACACACACACTCATTAAATCGTAAGATTTTTATAATACCTACATATTTAAATTTTTTTATGTTTATTACGTAACTTCAAATTTATAATCGTAAACTAAATAATGTTTATCAATGGCAAGTAAATATTATTTGTTAATTTTAGAATGGTTATTATATTAGCATAAAATTAAATAACATGTGACCCATCCGCCGCTTGACCGCGCCGACCGTGACTTAACTTACAGCAATAGTTCCCTGTCGAGTGTACTTGGTGGAGGCGACGTACGAGGCTTTGACCGTCAGCACCACAGCATTCATCAAGTTCTTGGCCGCTTGGATCAGGGAAGTGGCGCTGTCCAACTGAAAGAGAGAACGACTTCAACAAAGTATTCGATTGCAAACAAATTAAAAATTGGCCTTCTTTCTCTAGACATTCTACCCCAGGCACACAAAGAATTAAGGGAATCGCTGAGAAATACTGCCTTTGGACTTCCCACATACGTTTTTGACCTAATTGTAAGGATTTATCATTTGGCTGGGGCCTCACAACCCACAAGTGGCAAATCAGATTACCAATTTAATTATAATCTGTGCTGTGAATGGGAATCTGTATTTACTTGATTCTGACATAATTAACTAAAACATTTAAGACATGTTTTTTAGCTAAAATCTAAAACAAAGCCTACATAGGTTGCCGGTTCAGATCCGGCTCGAAGGACCACTCCGAGAAGAGGAAATTTTCAAAACTCACCCCACTGACAATGAGCTCTCCGGATATATTCTGCACGTCCGCCTTGACTTTGCTCGTGATTTGAATCTGGTGGCAGTAAAGGGCAATGCGCTGCAGATACGCCAACAGATCCTGCTTGGTCGACGACTCTGGGCACTGAAATGTATATATGTTTCAATTAATATGAACATCACAACTCGCCGTCAGTATTCCAATCTTCTCTTCTTTAAGTAGATGCGTATTTTTAACTCTGTCTTATGACCGTTGATTTAAATGAACCAAGGAGTAAAGACGGATATAGAAGAAGACACAGAAGGGAAATTAACCACAGCCTCACAAACACCTGCAGAAACAGAAAATTTGAAGAATTCTAATATAATCTACGAAATGTTAAAGAAATCTATTAGTAACCTGTTCGGCAATCTCCCTCGTCAGTTTGTCAAGTTTAGTCCCGGCCTCTGATATCTTTTTGGCCGCGTTGATGACGTCCATGGTTGTCTTCAGAGGACCACGGCCTCTGCAAAGGGTTTACACAACATAGTTTATTAAACATTGCTTTCAATCGTTAAATTAACAGCCTTTAATTACATTTTTCTAGGTTTTTAACTGTTAATGCAACTCATCAAATCTGACCATATTATATAATATATATATTTGCTATCTATAGGGCACAGATTATGTAATTAATAGTGGATTAAAAAAATCAGCGTGCGACTCTCATCCCCGAGGTCGTAGGTTCGATCCCCGGCTGTGCACCAATAGACTTTCTTTCTATGTGCGCATTTAACATTCGCTCGAACGGTGAAGGAATCCGGCATGTCTTAGACTCAAAATGTCAACGCGTGCGTCAAGCACTGGAGGCTGATCACCTACTTGCCTGTTGCCAAATGATCATGAAATAAATACACAAATCGGAGGACCAGACCTAAAAAGGTCTATTTTGTTCACTTTTAAAAAAATTTTTTAAAAGTGAACAAAAGAGAATCTACCCTGTCATATTAACTAATAACTGGATATGAAACCCGATGGAAAATCGGTTTCATCGTCTTGTCAGATGAGATAATTGAAATTGGCACTTAATAAGATCCTTTATTATCTAAATGATTTTACGTAGTAGCCCTGCTGATGTATTACATACCTTGTGAAATCTGTCATCTCCAGCATGATCATGCACATGTGCTTGGCCAGCATGATGATGTCGTTTCCCGCGTCGTCCCACTTGGCAACTTCGTTGTCGAAGGTCATCTTCTCACGACGGAACAACTCCACTTGCTGGAGGATCTTGCGTTTGTCCTCTTCCGTCATCTTTCGCATGGCTTCCTGAAATTATAAGTAAAGCTTTCTGAACAAATTCTCCATACCAAGTAATTAGTTAATCATGTGTCGGACAAGAGGTCTGTTTTATGTCAGTTCCTATACTGTAAGAAATAGTCTTTTTGTAAATGTTTCAATCTATTACTGTTAAATTTGTGTTGTTTTGTATGTAAATGGTACCATACTGGAGTAATCTGCAAAAGTAGCTTATTTTGTTTAAAAAAAAATATCGCTCTACTAAAATTTGTGTCAAAAAATCAAGAGTAAAAAATCATTTATTCACACAATGTATACTTATGAACGTCAAAAAAGAAATATACATTAAATGCTCCTAATTTTACATTTACTGCCAGTTCTCAAATCAAGGGCGTAGAACGTAAGAGAAGAACTAGCAATAAACTCACCGCCAATCTTTTAAATCGCCAAGTTTTTTGTTTTACAGAACGTTTGTAAGGAGCTGCAACCATTACACCGTATTCCACTTTGATATAATATAAAAAGATGTTTCACATAAAATGTGTCACTAACACAAAAATATTCTCCCCTACAACCTGCTGCCGGAAGTACTTAATTAATGAAACACACACACCAGCTTCATTATACACACACATCTTAATTGTCTGCACGATGACGCAAAAATAAAGGGTTAAAGTTTTTTTAATTTTTCTCGCTTCTCAAACCTCAAAGTTTGGGTAAATTTCAGACAAACACATCCTGTGGCTATTTTGACCTGGACGCAGTAGTATCTGATGAATTTGTTTTAGTGATAGACAACTTACCCTCGCATTGGTGATGCCGCTGATGTCAGGGTATTCATCCACGCCATGTTCGCCGGTGTGTGCACTCGCTGAAATATACAAACAAATTAAAACACACGAGCGTGGAGTTGTTTTATATCATTCGCCCAATAAATAACAATGTTTAGAAACTAACTCCCTCGTCTAGAATGAATATATCTGATAAAAAATAGTTCATCAAGAACAGAGAGTCTTCTAAATACGAGACTGAAAGTGTAGTATTGGACACTTTCTGAGTTAAATATCCAAGTATACAATAATTCAGGTGGGTCACAGAGGGCTGATAATCTACTTGCCTGAAAAAAATGTTTGATAAAAGTTCTCTACAGACGCTGATATTGCGACAATTTATATACAAACAATACTTATAACGTCTAAATTAAATAATATATTTTTAATTACACCTTTACTAATATACTTCTCTTTCAATTACTAAGACTGATTGACTTTTTAACCTGTATTCGACAAGATTTAAAAAAAATGGCTTATTCAATGAACTCCATTTAATAAACGTTTTCTTTCATTATCAATCAAAAAGGTGTCTAGTTTGCTTTTAATTATTGAAATTGTTATTAATGTTGTGTGGTAAGCTTACTGGATGAAAAGCAAAATATAGCAACAAATGTCTGCCCGTAGTCTAAAATACTCACATCGGCTCCTTGTCTCCATGGTCATGTCTTCCACGGGTTCGAACTCCGTGTCCGTATCGAGGTCGTCGCTTGTCTAAACACACATGCAAACACATACACTTACATGCAGAGCGTGCAATGATTTTTGAATGTAATTTAATGAATTTTTTAAGCCCATTTAATAAAACAAAAAAAAAACAATTATAAAATGAATCAGTCTCAAATTATTTTACCAGATTTTATGTATCCAAATATTAAACACTTAACAAATTTATAATAATGGTTATAAACTTATTAAAATATTTAACATAAAACTTCAAAAACCAATAGCTCTTGTCAACATAAAAATAAACTCAAAAACAAATAAAACAAAACAATTACCCAAAATACCAATTTCGTTAATGGATGATTTTTCCTTTCCGATTCATTGCCAACATAAAGAAATGATGCAGACATCACCTATGACATAACGGCATCTCCAACTACTAAAGGCAGTCTAAGGACGAAGAGTCTCACTTAGTTTCCTTAAGTGTGTGTCAATATCATGAACAGTGGCGTAACAATAGGGTGGCTGGGCTGGCAAAATGCCACGGACCCCAAACCCAAGAGGGCCAAGAGATATTATGTTCTATGGATGAATGTGAAGTCTCCAATACGCATTGGGGACGTGGGGACTTTAGACAATTCCCTCTCGCCAAAGAGAGGAGGCCTATGGCCATCAGTGAGACATATACAACGCGTAATTGAGTACGCTGAAAATATTATCTAAAAGTTCATTAAATCTAAACTGAGTACAACGTGACGATTTTTACAGATAGGGCCCTATCAAAAGAATTTGCTACGGGCCCCAGATGGTATAGTTACGCCACTGATCATGAAGATACTAGACTAGATTTTCATGTCACAAATCACAACTTTAATCAACCCTAACGAAGTGAGTGTCCTCGTTTCTCCTGAATTTGAATAACATGCAGAAAAGACAATCAGAAGCATAAAAATGACAAGGACAAAATAACACCATCAGTAACAACAGACAGAGATCACTATATTTCTCACATTTACTGCGTGTCTCGAGAGTGTACTGCTCATCTAACTCTACGTCTTCAGGGTCTAAATCTTCTTCCTCCTATAAATCGGTTTAAATATTTTATTACATTAAAAACTTTCCAAAAAATAGTTGCTATAGGATCTTTTCCATTTTGTGTTTTTCTCTTCCTTTGTTTTTCAAGTGACATGTTTTTGAAGTGAAACTTCTTTAGGCGCATGAGGGTAAATTTTTACGGAAACGTCACGTTGATGTGCAGCGTTTTTGTCGAAGAAAGAAAAAGGAAAGGGAGAGAGCGATTGAGACCGTTTGAGAGAGTGAGAAGGGCGAATTACCTTATAGATTTTTTTTTTAATTAAAATTTCTTTAAGAGCATTTATGAAATATTAGTATTTTATATTTTGTGCAAAATAATTTATTGAAATCTCAAATCACGTATTGCAAATTAAAATGCCACGTGATTTTACTATCGATGAAATAAATTTAAAAAATTAAATTTATAATTTGTATTAATTATCGACACATTTTATATTTTAATGACAATTAAATTCCTAACATATCTTCCTTTTTCCCTCCCTCTAAGTCTCGGAAATTATTAGATTTGTATAAATATGAACATGACTTAAAAATTAGTTTGCCAAAGAAGTTTCACTTCTGACATATGTACTTTGTTCGCGCGCATTTTTTTAAATTTCTAACCGACTAGAAACCTTTAAAGAGGTTGACCTGTATGTGTATAAGTCTTCTGTTGGCCTACCATTACTCCCATTTGAAACTTCACCCAACTTACCCGGTTCATGAGCACAGCGCGTCTTATCTCCCTCACACCGTCATACACAAGTCGAGAAGCATCAATGAAGTCATTTTCGTCCAGGCCGGCGCTTCCACCGCTGCCGAGAGCCGAAACTGCTGCATCGACACGCACAGCGAATTTCGACATTACTGAAAAGTTTTTTTATTATTAATCGATAATATACAATTGAAAGGACCACAGTTAAAAATAAAATATGTTCGGTTCAAAGATACTTTATTTCTCAAAGAATTACATTCACTTAGCGAGAAAATTTAGAGTAAGTTAGTTATGTACATCGTGTTATGAAATTATTTGAAAATACACTATATAAAATTAAAATATTAGTTTCTAACAATATGTACCATATTTGTTTCAAAAGTGCAGGTAGGTCGCATCGATGTTACAACAGGCATTATGTGACAATGAATAGTAATAATTTCTAAGACGCTCGTTCGCAGACATAAGTAAATGCTAGAATAGCTTTTTGATGTTTTGTAAATACATTAATAATTATTCCATTAATTCATATTAAATTTTTACGATTGTTACAGACACAGATATAGAATATGGTTGTTTTTATTTTTGTTATTTTATAGGTATGTTGTTAATTATATATACTTTTAAAAGTTTTTTAAATTTGTAAAAGGTTTTATTTCTTTTAATCTGGGTGGCAATGTATTAAATATTTGTGCGCCTTGATACATAATATTAAGTTTTCCGTAATTAGTCCTTGGTTGTATTAAACATAATGTATCAATATTTCTTAATGAATATTTTGCATCTGATTTTTGTGTAAAGGATAGATTTATATGAATTAATTTGTTAATAATTTTGTATATTAAAATTGAGGTATTGTAAACGTATGTCTGGTTTATACTCATAAATTTGGTATCACTGTATAGTTTTTCAGTTGGAGTCAAATAATCGTAATAGAATAATGTCTTCAATAATTTATTTTGCATAATTTGTATTTTATAACGATTTGTAGGCGCTGCAGTGCCCCATAGTTCGATTAAGTAGTCTATATGTGGCTTTACCATAATATTATATATAATGAGTCGGACTGACTTTGGGAAGCAACGCACACTGCCACGCAGCACGCCAAGAATAGAAGATAGTTTGGATTTAATAATGTCAATGTGCGGCTTCCAAGTTAAACGACTATCCAATACAACACCAAGATATTTTTGAGTATTTGTTCTAATGATATTACATCCATTAATAGTAAGAGGTGCAAAATCGTATATTTTCTTATTTTTTGCCGCAAAAATTATATAATTTGTTTTTTCTGTATTGATAGTGAGTAAATTAATTTTTAACCAATTACTTAGGCAGTTTAAATCAATTTGTGCATCTTTCACGATTGTATCTATATTACCACCATAGTAAAACAAACTTGTGTCATCTGCATACAACGTAACATCACCCTTTAACCCTAAGTTGCTAATGTCATTAATACGGAATATAAGATACAGGTATCACTTATTCCACGTAATTAAATTATTAAAACCTACTCATCGGCAAAATACAGAGGGAGAGGGTTAGTAGCTTAGCATATTTTGATAGGTCAATATTTCAATTAATTTTATTTATAGCCTATCAAACTGGCAGATTTGTGGACGAAAAGCCAGCAGGGGAGAGTCACAACTCTCATTTCCTAAAAAGGGACTTTATTTGCTTAAACGAGTTGGTATCTCCCGCCGGGTCCAGGGCTATGTACTTCGAAAGTATGTCCTTATCTGATCAATAAGAGTCATAGAAATATGTCCCTCTGTTAAGCAAAAAAAGCCACATAATTAATATGTATAATTTAATCTCAAAAAGACTATTTTAAGAATGTCTTTAATAAATAGTTGTTAGAATTAATCTAATAAATTATGCATTAGACAAATGTCAAGGATTGGGCGAACAAGGCCGGGTCAAAAGTTAATACAAAACATAAATAAAAAATGTTTTATCATAACAATGACCTTGGACCATGGTCAATATGGTTTTACCATACTACCATAAACATCTCAGTTTCATATAGTTATCTTGGTTATGGTTTAAGTACCAGTTCGGATTATCAGTTTTTATTTAACACGTTACAAAACTGTACAACTTATAATAATTAAATAATAAGGCCAACTGTATACATAACCACAGGCATTTAACATATTACTACTAACGTTTAGCTATAAGTAAACTCTAACAACATTTTATATGGAAATTAAGGATATGGAAAGAAAAAAGACTTATTTATTATTATTAAGGAGGGCAACGGGCGTCCAAAAAGTGCAGTAGTCAAGTTTTTTTAGTCTGCTAGATTTCCCGATTTTATAAAAAAACAATTTTTCAGTGTAATAGACAATTACTACAGCTTATACTTATAAAAGTGGACTTTTATAACGATACCATATAACCCATCTGCAAAAGTCAGTTACCAAATCCATAATCAAGTTGTCACTGCATTTTTATCGACTTCAAGGTCACCCTCGATTGTGAATTGCGAAATTTATCAACATCGAGATTAATAACTCAACTTCACAGATGATGAAATTTTTGCGTGCGCTTTCATATTGTGTATGAAGATGTACTTAATATTTATTTTTAATAAGGTGTTTCAATTATAAAGGAAAACATCGTGAGGAAACCGTCAGGCACAGAAGGAAGATCACTAGAAGGATCATTAGAAATGATCACGGAATTGACACAAAACTGAGGCCCAGACCTAAAAGGTTGCGCCATTGGTATAATATTTAAGATAACTGTAAGTTTTACGTATTTAAGATAACTTTAAGTATTTTTAAATAGGAAATTACCAGAAAAAACTAAACTTTGTAGGTGGAAGCGTAATTTTATATATTTTTTTAATTCAAAATCATTTACACTTATGAACGACAATAAAGAAATACATATTAAATGCTTCTAATCTTACATTTACTGCCAGTTCTCAAATCAAGGGCGTAGAATGGACGAAAAGAACTGGTAATAAACTCTCCGCCACTCTTTTTAATCGCCAAGTTTTTTGTTTTACACAACGTTTGTAAGGAGCTGCAACCATTACACCATGATCCACATGACATCTTTAAGTAATTAATAATAATAAAAATATTTTCACCGTAATTGTCATATATTTTAGAACTATAAAAATTGCATTATATGACGTGGGGTACTTTTAAAAATAAACAATCAAACATCACCAAGAAACAACTTTGTCAGATAACGCACTTGCAGCTTTAAATAAACATTTAAAGCTTTTTACCGTTTTTGCAAGGTTTTGCATTCATGCTCCACTTCTACTATTGGTAAAAGCTTGATATAGAGCCTTCCTCGATACATTGACAAACTCTATAATTTTATATGATGGTATTTTATTACAGTTATCATGTTAGTAATACAGTTGTAACCTCTTTATCTCGTTATCCCAAATATCTAAAACACTTGAGATATTAATTTTACTCGTATCATAAGCCATCATGTTGTCAAGGTGGATGTTCCTGCTCTGGGCGAGCAGCGCTCTTTGTGAGTTGCGGTTGGACCCCCTGGTGGATACCAAGCAGGGTTTGATCAAGGGTTTGAGGGCTGATGATGGAGACTATTCCATGTTTCTTGGAATACCGTATGGGAGGGTGGATACGGAGAATCCTTTTGGAGTAAGTAACAACTCAAGTTGAGAATTTTATTATTAATTATATTTATATTTATTTATCTGTAACCACGATAGGTTCGTCAAGTATTCGTATATGATAGCGTCAGTTTTTGACAGCTCAAAGCGCTGTGTATGTGTGTGTATAGTTTTAGATATAATTTAATTTACGTATTAAAAACTATTACGTTCTAGGAATCCAAACCTTACCCAAAATTCGAAACTGCCTTCGAAGCGTATGACGATTCGGCAATATGCCCTCAAGTTGAGGAATTCAACAATACAATCGTTGGTAACTTGGACTGCCTACATTTGAACGTATACGTGCCACACAGTGCTACATCTAGAAACAAGCTACCAGTGCTGGTTTGGATTTATGGTGGAGGCTTCAGAATAGGATTTGCTGGCCGATACCTATATGGCCCAAAATATTTAGTCAGGCACGATGTCATTTTGGTCACGTTAAACTACAGGCTGGGTCCGTATGGTTTTATGTGCTTGGATCTACCGGAGGTACCTGGGAACCAGGGATTAAAAGACCAAGCATTAGCTCTGAAATGGGTTAAGGAGAATATCGAGGAGTTTGGAGGTGAGATATAAGATTCTTATTTAAATTACAAAAAACAATTACTCAATTACTAAGAATAACTTATTATTATAGGTAACAGCAACAAAATAACGATTTTCGGAGAAAGCGCCGGTGCTGCATCAGTTGAATTCCACCTCCTATCTAACCAAGAAAAGCTATACCACCAAGCAATCTTGCACAGCGGCTCAGTTTTCGGCACATGGGTTTTTAAAGAATCTGACAATACCGTCCCTTCAAAGATAGCCAAGCAATTAGGCTTTGAAACAAACAATGTTTATGAAGCATTAGATTTTCTTAAAACCGTTGATGAGAAATTGGTAATCGCAGCAAGCACTGAACTATCTCTCTATCAACATCCGTGTGTAGAAAAGGAGTTCGAAAATGTTGATCGCTTTATACACACACATCCAATAAACATTGACGTTGTAGCAAAGGCAAAAGGCATGCCCATTCTAACAGGATTCAACAGTCAAGAGGAATTAATGGCATATGCTACATTACCAGATAAAGATTATGAAAAATTGAATCCTTTTGATGATATACTATCTTTAGTTTTTGATATGGACCAGTTGAAAGGATTAGATTTAGTGCGTCATTTTTATATAGGAGATGATAAAATTACTTCAGATGTTAAGTGGGATTTGATCAACTTCAATTCTGATATTCGCTTTAACTATGGAATAACAAGAAGTCTAGAGCGGTTCCTCAAAAATGGTGCTAATGTCTACAACTATTTGTTTTCGTATGAGGGTGGCAGAAATTTTGTCAAGAGAAGATTTAATGTGACAGAGGGTGAGGCAGCCCATGCTGATGAATTGGGGTATTTATTTGATGTAAGCTTTTTTGATGTCATGAGCGAAGATGATCAATTGGTGATCGATAGAATGACAACGATGTGGACGAATTTTGTTAAGTACGGGTAAGTCATTAAGCTTGTTTTAAATCAAAGAATACCAAATTTACAGGTTGTTTAATATACAGTATATTTGTCATACATTTTATATGCTTCTTACGGCAATAAGACAAATAATACTTCATTAATACCAGTAAATACTTTCTAAAATTATAAGAACTGGACAACAAAAATTTTCATCGACAAAAATAATTGTTTGATATATATGAACCTAGTCATTATTCTACATTTATCAAAATATTTCAGAAACCCTACACCAGAGGTGACCGATCTTTTGCCCGTCTCATGGCCTGCAGTCACTAAGGACTCCCACAACTATTTCAATATAGACAAAGAATTGACAACTGGGAATAGACCCTTCACACACAGAATGTCGTTCTGGGAGCTCTTCTATACATTAAATGAAAAGGCAATCAAGGGATACGTTGACAAAGTGTAGACCCTACAAGAGTTACAAACGCAAATATGTAGCCTAAACCCCTTATGTATATGAACCTGCTGTAACTGAGCCTCAAGAACCAAAGTATTATTTTAAATACAAAAATTATTATCGGTCAGCCATTGAAAGCAAATGTAAAGATGAAATAAATTCGCCTTTATATCCGTGAAAGATGTTTTATTTTAATTTGCAATACTCCCGATTGACAATTGTATTCTATGAAAACATACTAATGTCGTTTGCTTAATTTAAATCTACCCACTATCCGTAGGATATTGAATCGGTAATTTCAAAAAGAACATTAGTCACAATCTGCTGACTTTTCAGGAGACATAAAAAACAGATTTCGCAGAGTATTTTCTTTTGAAGTCTTGTAGATTTTTCTCACAAATTATTGAATTAATTAGTCTGAAGTAGCACATCTATAGTTATTATTGTACTACTTGTATTTTTTGAGATATTTACATTTATAATATTTGGACTTGTGTTGTTACTGCAACTAATATGGGAAGAATATTTTATTTTATAACTTATATCTATCACTTATGCTATATTATATTATTCCATATCATCCACTGTTGTTGTTGCCCAATCAAAATATATTGTTTGACAAAATTCTATGTAAGTATCAGGAATGTAACTTTCTAATGTAAGTTCGGGACAAATGTTCTTTCTGAAACGTTATTTATGTTGTTTCTGCAATGTTCTTACACACCTCAGTGGGACTAATGTTGTTTCTGCATCTACTGACATTTTCAATCCCACGTAGCTCCATTGATATTCATCGGACTAATGTAAAGAACATTACTTTAGGGATTTATAGATCTACCCTCAAGGGTACCATAGACAACAATAACTCAAAACACACAAATTTGGACTAATGTTCTTTTTGAAACTACCGATTCATATATCGTATCGTATCCTATATATCGTAGTGTATACGTGTAGTTAAAACAATATATGTTTATTATGGACTATAAGATACAGGTATCACTTATTGCACGTCATTAAATTTCAATCGGTAGACATCCCTACTCATCGACAAAGAAGACAGAGGGTGTAGGCCGAGAGAAAAAGCCGGCCTAAAAACTCTCGGTACTCTTTTAAAATAGCAAATCATCAAACAACACTTATTTTAAAACAAATATCGCAAATTAATTAGAAGTAGTTAGTTTAGTCTAGCACTACTCCCAGGTCCTTTTATCAACTAGATAATCGTTGACTTTATAGTAAAGGCTTACTAGGTAAGACAGCTTTTCTTTAATACATTTCTTTAATTTATTAAAAGGCAGAGATTAAAGAGCCTCTGGGATTTTATTAAAGAAAAGTATCCCTTTTCCCAAAAAAGAATTACTATCTTTAGATAGTCTAGAACGGGGAAATAGCAGCCTGCGTTTGTTCCAAGTTAACATTAAACGTATTGACACGAGTGGCCCTCACAATCATACTCCTAATAATAAGCCTTGTATTTTGTCAGCTGTTATTAGTTCTCGAGACCTTAGAAGACCTAAAAAATAAATTGATACACTAAAAATTACCGAAACCAGTACTACACACCAAACTAAGTCTTTTAATCTGTTCGGGAATTCATAGACGATGACAATGTGTGGGCACTAATGCCGCTATAAGATGGTGAGATGGCGTGAGTTGACTTGCATAAGTGTACAAATTTTGCCTAAATGATTAAATGACTTTTGAAGTGAAACTTCTTTATCGAGGTTGGAAAAAAAATTTAGTGTAACATTTTTTCGTTACGCGTCACATTTTTCGGTTACGCGCCATGTTGCTTTTTGAAGTCAAACTTCTTTATCGGCGTTGGAAATTGGAATGAAACTTCTTTATCGACGTATGGGAGAAATTTTGTAGCAAATCGTCACGTTTTTCAATGATAGTAATAATTCTATTACAATTAATGAAATTCTATAATAATCTTCGTAGTAATAAGGTAAAATGAAATATTTGTATTCATGTCTATGATAATAAAAGCCTTTTGTTAAACTTTATCTAATTTAACGAATTTCTGTAAAGTTGCATATAGTAGATCATTTTTCGAAAAATAAGATCATAAAGAAGTTTCACTTCTTACGTGTGTATACCTAGTACACGCACAATTTTATTTGTTTTCAATAAACCAACTGTTTAAACAACCATATTTGCCTTTAAATAATTGATTACCAATTTATTGGTAACATTAATTTTATTGAGCTCAGTCGTATTTTCTTATCATCGAAGTCATAAAACAACAAGTGTGAAAATTATAAAGAAAATAGTAAATTTCAAATACATTTATATTCAAAACTAATAAGTGTATTATGATGATTTATTAACGAGTCCTTCAAAACTTGTCAAATTGTCCAAAAATATGTCATTTATGTTCACACTTGTGCTGCTGCTAATCCAAAGGGTGTACTCCGATTCCCCAATAATAGAAACGCCGTGGGGCCTAATTCGAGGGGTGCCCGCTGATGATGGAGACTACAACATGTTTTTGGGTATACCCTATGCTCGTGTAGATCCAGAAAATCCATTCGGGGTGAGTTGATTTAATTTTGATTATGGATTCTGCTGAACTACTGATTCTGTTTAACAATTAATAGGCCAGCATCAAGCCTTAAAATAAGGCAACGTGACATGGACACATAGGGTAAGTCCTTCACTCGTGGACACCTACAATATGCCTTGGCTTCGTAAGCCTGCCCCTTGTGAACTTGTGTGTCTTTAGGGAAACGCTATTTATACACGGGTATTTAAGGTATCGAGTTATTCAATTAAAATAATTATTTACAGGCCGCAAAGCCGTTTCCAAAATTCACTGGAGTCTTCGAAGCAAACAACGGCACCACGATCTGCCCTCAAAGGGAAGAAGTTTCACAAGAGATACGGGGAACACTAGATTGTCTAGTATTACACATTTATGTGCCTGACATAACAAAAAACAAGACGCCTGTTCTCGTTTTCGTTCACGGAGGGTTTCATGATTTTGGAGACGGGGGACCAGATACATATGGTCCAAATTATTTGGTACGCCACGGTATAATTGTGGTATCAATAAATTATCGACTAGGTCCATATGGTTTTATGTGCTTGGACATACCAGAGGTGTCCGGCAACCAGGGTTTCAAGGATCAGACAATGGCATTGCGATGGATCAAGGAAAACATAGAATATTTTGGGGGCGACTCAGACAAAATTACGCTTTACGGTCAAAGCTCCGGGGCCGTCTCTGTTGAATTTCATTTATTATCGGAAAACGAGAAATTATATAATCAAGCGATAGTGCAGAGTGGAGGAACTTATGTTTGGAAAGCAGCTAAGAGTACAAATAATACTTTACCATTACTGCTGGCATCAGATTTGGGTTTTAAGACGTATGACGTATATAAAGCACTAGCGTATTTAAAAGGTATTGAAGTGGAACGAGTTATAGAGTCTGCGACGAGGTTAAAAATGCAAAGTAGTGGGTGTATCGAAAAAAAGTTCAATGGCGTTGAAGGTTTTCTCTACGTAGATCCGGTTACAATTAAAACATTACCTAAAACGAAGAACCTTCCATTATTAGTCGGCATCACTGATGCAGAACGGCTGCTTTACGTCATCAGAGGCCTTACTAAAAACCCATTGGGCTACGATCCCTTTAAAGATTTGGTAAGATATGTGCCGCAAAACGAAATGAGTAAAGCTTATGACATCGTGCGTAGATTTTACATAGGTGATGCCCCTATAACGATAGAGGTTATTGATAATTTGATTGATTTTGATTCGGATTTTAAGTACACTTACCCATCAGAGCAGAGTGTAATGAGATTTTTGAAGAGTGAAGCGAAAGTATACCATTTTTTGTTCAGCTATACTGGAGGTAGAAACCAATTGAAGGTTCGAGACAATATTACAATAGGTGGAGCAGCGCATTCTGACGATGTAGGATATGTCTTTGAGACTAAACGTTTGCGGGGAAAGGGAAGTGATGTTGATTTTTTGGTTCTGGATAGAATGACCAAAATGTGGGCTAACTTTGTCAAGTATGGGTAAGTAATAACCTAATTTTATATTTTAGTACCAATCACGGAGAGTATAAAAGTAATGGGGACGTGTTGTAAAACCATTGAAGATGTCTTAGTTTGTTGAAGGAAAGAAGTAATTAGATTATTGAGATAATCTCAAACACTAATTATTTTATTACTTAAATATTTTATTTTCTTTATTTTACTAATAGATAAAAATATTTTAATAAGTTTGTTTTATACATGTTTTACAAATTTTGAGTAATTACTTTTATTACTTTTGAGTAACTAATATCTGGTGATAGAGAAAGCGAGGACTATTAGAGCGAAACGTTTTCATTTATCTCAAATTACCTTTTCATCACATGTTCCAATATTATTTAATTTTTTAAGTGAATTTTGGGTCCGTTTTAACACAAACTTTGTTCACAGTAACCCAACGCCAGACGTCACCGATCTCCTGCCGATCGCATGGCCGTTAGCGACTACTCAAAGACTACACTACTTAAATATAGATAAAGAATTGTCCCTTGGGATAAGACCATTCCACAATCGATTCGCATTCTGGGACCTCTTCTATTTACATTATGTAAATAATGCTGGGGTCCTAAATAGTATTAAGTTTATATTACTATTTGTTTTAGGTGTTTTGCACTGTATTGTATAATATTCATGAATCTAAAAACCTAAATTAGCTGAATCGTCCTTACGTGCCAAATTATAGTAAATAATGTTATGTATTAGTAAATATATACCACGGTATTTTACTGTTTGAATAAGACCACTAAATAAGATAAACGATAGTGCTTTCGTAAAAAAACGTAAGACCGCTCTAGTTATACAAAAATCAGTGCAAAAATAAAATTTAAACTAAAAATGGTTGCGTTTTATTAAAATGTTATTATCATTAATGTAAAGATCTTATGGAAATAGGATACAAAAAGACAGGCGCTTGTAAGAGACTTACCTAGGATAATATTCAGAATTATTTGTATTGGAATATACAAATTCAGGAGTTATAATTCGCGCTAAGTCTTGTATCTGAACTCAAAGAAATGAAAGACTTGAAACTGGGGTTTATTTAATTGAAAAAATATTTTCAAAATATCATTACCAACGGAGTACCGTTTATTTTAAATTAGGAAGAGATGTTTGATGGAAAGTGTTAAATCTTTTGGATGACATAATGATAAAGGTGGATGTATGGTTACGTCGGAATTATCATATGACAATCAGATAAAGATATGCCAATAAATAGACAAACAAATCAAGATTGGTTCAGTCACAAAACTAATCATGAAACTAGCATGGTGTTTGTTGATCCTGGGATCAGTCCAGGGCCAGTTACGATTGGACCCATTGGTGGATACCAATCAGGGTTTGATCAAGGGTTTGAAAGCTGATGACGGAGACTACTCTATGTTTCTTGGAATACCGTTTGCACGGGTGGATGAGGAGAATCCTTTTGGAGTGAGTTATTAGTTTTTTTTTTTTAATAAAAACTTTGTTCATGACAGAAATATCGTTACAAAATTTATTGACAAATCAATCAAACAAATCATATAAGACAATAAGTATGCGTGAATATATAAGTATTCGAAACAGTATGTGTACGTTTAATAAAACACTATTTTGACCGGATTGAAGTTATGTATTATTATAAATTTACAACTATTTAACATAATTTTAAATTTACGGTCACGGTGACCACGCACGCTGTAAAGCACGCGAAACGTCGGATAAATTTAAAATTATGTTAAATAGTTGTAAATTTATAATAATACATAACTTCAATCCGGTCAAAATAGTGTTTTATTAAATGAATAAAAGTTATGTTAATCAAAGACAATACTAGTATGTGTACGTATTAGAGACTGGCTGAGAGTTATAATAAGCGTTCGATGTGTCTGTGTTAGCTGAATAGTATATATATTTTAATAGTTTTGTTACACTTGTATTTTAATTGTTCATTTTTTATATCTTTTTATAATCTTCTTAATAAGTAATTGAAATTAAAATTAAGACATACAGAAGAATATAAGAGCATCTTTCGCAAGTTTATTAGAGAAGGATATATGATTCAAATATCATTTATCTTAAGTGGTTTGTCAAATGTTATCTTTTTATCCTATCAAAATTCGAAGGTTTCGAATGCTACTTTAATAATTTTAGATAATTCTTTAAATATATAGATGATAACTTTTACGTTTGGACGCTGATCACCATTTCTTTCAGGCCGCTCAACCATATCCAAAATTTGAACAAATCTTCGAAGCATATGACGATTCCCGTATTTGTCCACAAATCCAATCCTCAGAGGTAAGAGGAACTCTAGACTGCCTACGCCTTAACGTTTTTGTACCAAACGAAGCCAGTACACGCAACAAGGTACCAGTACTAGTATGGATCCACGGTGGAGGCTTCATAGACGGCTCAGGCACAAGAACAACCAGCGATCCCAAATATCTAATCAGACATGACGTAATCGTCGTAACTATTAACTACAGACTTGGACCGTATGGTTTTATGTGTCTGGATGATCTAGAAGTCCAAGGAAACCAGGGGCTCAAAGACCAAACCTTAGCGCTCAGGTGGATAAAGGAGAACATAGAGTACTTCGGTGGTGATACCAACAAAATCACTGTTTATGGTGAGAGTGCTGGCTCCATATCAGTGGAGTCCCATATAGCTTCAAAGAATGAAAATCTCTTCAACCAGGCAATTTTATCCAGTGGTTCTATTTATGGACGGGGGCTTTTAAGCGAGATTGATAATAGCGCACCTTTAAAGATTTCCAAACAATTGGGTTACGAAACTGATGACGCAAAAGTCGCCTTACAATTCCTTAAACAGACCGACGTTAAACTAGTTATAGCAGCAGCACACGAGATAGGAATAAGACTGGGTGTATGCGTTGAAAACGAATCGGAGGGAGCATTCTTGACAGAACATCCATCAAGCATATCAACGCTACCCAAAGCGAGAAACATGGCCATACTGAGCGGGTACAATGCTTATGAGACCCTTGGTATGTACTACAATCAACCAGCGGAGCACTTCAGCAATATAGATCCCTTCAAAGAATATTTAGATCAGTTCGGCCTAGAGGACGACAAATATGATGCTGCGTATAAAGCAATACGTCGATTCTACATCGGCGACTATCCTATAAGCATAAACACAAAATGGGGAATAATCAAATTTACTTCTGACGTTACCTTCAACCACCCTACAGTGAAAAGTATCAAACGTTTTAATGATAGTGGTGTAAAGAATCAATACTTTTATGTATTTGCGTACACAGGTGAACGGAATATACTGAAGGTAAAAGGAAATATCACAACATTCGGAGCAGCTCATGCAGACGAATTAGGCTACATATTTGATATGGATATTCTTGATAAAGATGTCAATGAAAGAGATCAAATTATTTTGGATAGGATGACCAGTTATTGGACTAATTTCATTAAATATGGGTGAGTATAATTTTAGTTAGAGAATTATTACTGAATAAATTTAAAACTCTTGTTAAAGGTAAATAAATAAAGCTTTTTTTAAACGATTTGGATTGATTTGCTCCAGTTCAAACAATTTGTATGACTCAAAACTTGGCGATCAAAAAGAGTGGCGGAGAGTTTCTTGCCCGCTCTACGCCCTGACTTGCGAACTGGTAGTAAATGTAAATTAAGAATGTAACATCTTTTCTGTTGACGTTCATAAGTGTACTTGGTAACCTACATGAATAAAGTTATTATGAGTTTGAGTTAGTGAAGTATCACTATATATATCTAGATGTGCATTTAATTCATCCTTATCTCTAAATTGTATTCATCTGGAACAGCGCTTTTAAAAGTAGCTGTTAAAACTTCTTCATTTATATTTACCAAAACAACATTTTACAGAAATCCAACACCAAAAGAAACAGAACTCCTACCAATTGTATGGCCTACGGTGACAGAAGATTCGCTAAACTACTTACACATCAACACAAATGAGTACACAGACGCGGCACCAAATAACGAACGACACGTGTTTTGGGAAGTCATTGAAGAGTTGTATTTAAAGTAACCTAATGTCAGATGTTCAGTAATTTTTCAGTCAGACTTAATCTTGTCCTAAGTCCAAAGGACCAATGAAGTTTCGTTTTCATTTAAAAAAATGGACCAGGGCCACAAATATGTATGGAAGTGTTTGATAGACTGACATTTAAATACAATGTAATATATAATTTGGTCGTAATTGTATTAATAATAAAACAGTATTATAACAAAATATTGGTGATTCATTTGACAGGGAACTTTTGCTAAACGTTGATGAGAGCACCCCAATTCGACGTAGGATGCTTCAAGAAAAGAGCGTATCAATTCTTCAAAAGGCCGACAACGCACATGCGAGCCCTCTGGCGAATGTCACATAAAAAAAATTGTGGATATTTAACATCTGTAATTTCGTTTCACTCACAGTTTGATGTATACGTATTTTGCAAATTTAAATCACAAACCATTATTAGACGTTTTGGTAAAGATTTCTTAAAATTCAACAAATAATTTATTTCTCCTGAAGCTTCCGTTGGACTTCATTGTACTAAGTAAGGACATGGGTATAAATAATAATATTCGAGAGTAGCGAACAGTGGTTCCTGGCGATTTTAGTTTTATCTGCCCAGGCCCAGAGCCCGTGATCGGGTTTCCCCAGGATAAAAAAAGTTTCTTAAAACCTAATAACATCCCATACTATGTCTATTCGAAGAGAATGTCTGCTGTTATTAGTGCAGAAGATCTTTTCCATGGGCATTAAGGCGGTGTGACTCGTACTTAAAAAATAGGATAACTGGTGATCATGTCATATTTTTTGTTTGTTTGTTTTTTTTAATTTTGTAGGTTAAATAACAGATTGTATTTAATAAAATAGACCCATATTATACAGTATGCAAATCGCTACTCGCGTCGCCTACGACCGTGCTTTATTAACATTTAAAGATGAGCCAAGCGATTGCGCAAACGCATCTCAGGGCGCGTGTCATGAGGTTACTAGTTTTTTGTTACCATACCCGTTAACAATTGATTATATTAAGCTCGTTTATCTATTGGGTAATTTATTTATTTAAAAGTTCTAAAACAACGTATATGCATAAAATTATATAAGAAAATACGACGTGACAAATTTTACACACATACACATCAAGGGAAATAATTAAACAAGCAAGCACAAAATGAAAACAATTATAACTAAAAAAAAGTAATAATAACTAAATCTAAAAAAAATAACTTAAACTAAAAGGGAACTTATTTTATAAAGTTTTAAAAAATAGAACGTTTTTAAAATATTATATGATTTTTTCTACTCTTGAAATTCATTCAATTTTTATTCACAAAATATTTTAACAGGCAAGTAGGTGAACACAGCCTTCAGTTCCAGACGCATATCGTCGACTATTGGGTCTAAGGTATGACGGTTTCCTCGCGATGTTTCCATCACCGGACGAGCGAGTATTATTACGCACAAAATGAAAAATCCATGCATCAGGGTTGAGATGCACACGCTCCAGCCACTAGCCACTTGACAGAAATGACACAGCAAAATCATACGTCAAACCTACGTTCTCAGGAATGAGAACCGCACGCCGAAGCCACTAGGCCAACACTGCTCTAACTTTTTTTTTATATAACGGGCAAATGGGCAGGAGGCTCATGTGATGTTAAGTGATACCGCCGCCCATGGACACTCTCAATGCTAGAAGGGTCTAGCAAGTGCCTGCCTTTTTGTCATTAATAGTAGAAAAATAATTTTAGTAAACCTTTAGTTAGTGTTAGTTTATTGAATTATTATCATAATAACTGTATTAGTTTGTTTATTATTGGTAAAAATCAAATAAACAAAAGATATATCTAGCGGTTACATGATATTCCGTCATACAATTAACCAAAGGCGTAGTGTTATTATATTATAATTATAATAAATAATAATGTAGACATCTCAACAAATCACATTTCTGAAATGTTTTCTACACTAAAATTATAAACTTTGTGTGTAACGGACAAATTCTAAAACGTAATCGATTCAATCCGCTGTCGCAAAACTAACAACCGCCTCGACTCCGAAACACTTAAAATAATTAAATGAAAATATTGATTTATATATTTGTCTCGCATTCCGCAAATAATTCCCAAAGTCTACGTCTATACAACCTCATTTAAAACAAACCTGCATGCGTTTCATTAAACGACTCCAACTTTTGTATTAGATTTGAAAATTTAGGTATTATTCTAAATAATAAAATACCGTCCTTTACATACAAAATTAGGTCAATATTATCGAGATGACAATTATACAATTTTGACCCCAAAACTGTTCCATCAATACTTGTTTGAGGTCAAAAAAAACTTGTAAAATGACCTCAAGATGTACATATATAACTCACGAGCTTACACATGCGCAGTACAGTTTTCGTAAAGACATCACCATGGTTAGTGGTTAAATATTTCATTTAAATGTGATTTGTGTCGTGTATATTGTGTATTAGAATTAGTTTGTGTTTGTCAAAATAGGTGTATCATACTTAAATATATTTATTTATTGAAGTACACCACATCATATATACCTAATGCATTTTGCTACATGATACAAGTTATCTATTTTAAAATACGTGACAATTGTGGTGAACATAAATTTTACAAAAAATAATACCAATACAATAAAAATAACACTTACAATTTTAGTATTTGCATAACATTTCGAGTACCAGATAGGCCCATAGTGGTTTTCTTTAAATTGATCAACCCACTACCGAATTTATCTCCGGACTCAAAAGCTACTTGACTGATTTTCACTCAGATTTCAACAATTTAGGCAAAGCTCAGGAAGCTTTAAGGCTTATTTGTTATAATATAATGGTCAATCCGTCTGATACCCGTGCGAAGCCAGGGCTAATTTTAGCATTAAAATCGATTTTTGTTTCTATCTGTGTGCTCTCGTAATCGCTTTAATGCAAAAAAAGTGCGTGCGTACTAAGTACACATGACAGAAGTGAAACTTCTCCGACGAACTAATTTTTAACTCTTGTTCATATTTTGTTAAGAAGTTTCACTTCCAAAAGGACTTTTCCATCTTAAGCCTATTTTCATAAATTGTAATGATATTTTTTTTTCGTATTTACCTTACTAGGGTTGCCTGGAACAGATCGCTTGTTAGCGATATGGCCGCCCGAAGCATTCCTAATAATTTATATTATTTGTTTTTCCTGTAATGTATACAATGTACTTGACAGGACACTTAACAATTCTCTAAATAATTCGCCAGCTTCACGCCGACTAAAATTATCGAAAAGCACTAGAAAACATCGACTTTAACGAGATTAACTGGATTAACCATTTGTCAAATCACCGCAATTCCCTCGAATTGCTCAAATATTGAAGCAATTCACACGTCAAAGTGTAAACAAAATATGTGCATAGGTAATATTGACCTTTAAGATCGCGTTTAAGCAAACATTAACGCCTAATGTTGCGCAAACGCATGGGACAACAAAAACTGAATTATAATTGTGCTCACAAATGGCAAGGCCGTTGATGCTGTGTTCACGGCATCAGCGTGCGAGTTTTAGCCGTCTCTTTCTTTCAAATTGTGTTTACGCTTTAATGAAAAGAGACGAGAGATTCAATAATTTGAGTCTGATTTAAATAAATGCGGATTCAGCCTACTGATTATACGTACAGTATTAAATTATTTAGTTATAGTCAAGAAAATTAAACTACAGTCATCCTCCGGTCCGGGTCTACCGCGTTATAGGTAATCGCGTTGAATACTCCTATATTCTCGTAAACCGTTTTTTTTGAACAATTCAAAAACTAGAAACACGAATTTGATTAAGTTATTTAGTTTAATTGTATAACACAATTAAAGGTACACAAAACTAATAATGGACTAGACAAATCATTATAAATTTCACACTATAGAAATATAACTTGAAAAATCTCCGCGTTATATGGGAAAGGAAATCGCGATATTACGGTACCACATTATGGGAGAGACTGGGGGTTTAGTCAAGATGCCTTAACAGTAGTGTATATAGAAAATCGAAAACCAAATTTGTATGAAAATTTGTCGACAATTGTAATTTCCATACCAATTTAGTTTTCGCCTTTTTACATACACTACTGTTATTAAAGCATCTTGACTTAAACCCCCTGTATAAGTATTTAACGAGTAGTTAAATATTTTCAACTGAAATGAAAAGACGGTGAACATAGCTAACAGGGATCCGTCCCAGAACACCATAACACCCAACGCTGTCTTTTTAACACTTAAGAAACTATTTAGTTAGAAATAATTTTAGAAATTTTGAGTTCATTAATTTGATATCATTAATTATAATTTACATTCCAGAAACTCCTACTTATCGCCTCCATCGTAGCCTTAGCGGCCGCAGACGTATCACACATCCTGACCAAAGACAGTACCGCTCAAATCCTGAAGCAGGAGTTGGATGTTGGTGTCGAGGGTCAATACTCGTGGGCCATTGAAACTGACAACGGGATATCTGCGCGGGCGCAAGGCGCTTTGAAAGACCCACAGGGTGTAAGAAACATTTAATTCACTTTGAGAATGGAAAGATTCGAAAACTAGGTGATTCAGACTTATTACTAAAATCAAAATTCTGAAGATACTACAACTTTTTCTCGTACATTTACTATAAATTGAATCTTTTCCAAAACGATGCCAGATATTCCCACAACACAGCGATTTTTAAGGCACTTTCTGTCGCGCACCAACTCTTTGTGGAACCAGCTGCCAGTAGAGGTATTAGTCCAAACAGATACGGCTTAGGGGCCTTCAATGAGCGTATCACCTCTGAAAGGTCGGCAAAGAAGAAACATGGTTCAAATTATTTAACGTGAAATTTTTTTGCAGGAGAATCCCGCAGAAGTAGTCCAAGGACAGGCGCAATGGACATCACCGGAGGGTGAAGTTGTATCGCTACAGTACACCGCTGACGAAAACGGATACCAAGTTCAGGTATTATTTCACCGATACTGGTGATATATTGATTATTTTCCTAAGTAGCTTTCCCGTGGACAAATTAAAAAAATCTTATTTTCCAGGGCTCCCATCTGCCAACCCCCCCACCGATCCCCGCTGCGATACTTCGGTCATTGGAATTCATCAGATCCCACCCCCCACCACAGAACGCCAACAACTAATTTTATACTCGCAAATACTCGCAATATCAAAAAGCTAATGTACCTGTTATCGCAATACACTAAACTTCTTACTTATCACAAAATACCAGTTTAAGTAGAATAATATTTTGAAAATATTTTTTATATTTTTTTTGTACAAAATAAATAAGTTATAGTAACTTGAGTTTTCTTAACACCTTGATGTTAACTTTAATGAAAAATCAGTGGCGCTACTTTTTTAGGTCTGGGCCTCAGATTTTTGTATCTGTTTCATGACCATTTGTCAACCTCATAGGCAAGTAGGTGATCAGCCTCCTATGCCTCCACGCCGTCGACTTTTAGTGTCTAAGGCAAGCCGGTTTCCTCACGATGTTTTCGTTCAACGTTCGAGCGAATGTTAAATGCGCACATAGATAAAAGTTCCATTGGTTCACAATTGGGGATCAAACCTACGACTCCAGAGGTTAGAGTCGCACGCTAAATCCACTAGGCGGACACTGCTCTAGAATCGATAGAGAGAAACCCTTGAAACATTAAGAATAGCAACGTAACTGAAAACTGTGTCGTGAGCCCCAAGCCCCAAAAAAACCCCTTACCTTGGTCTCGTAGTACGGTGACGGCTTCGAGAACCCTCTTGGTGTAAATACAGGGCTCGTAATTGTCCATCTCTTGAGTCACCACTGAACACACCCTGTATACAAAATAAACTTCAACGTATACTTTTTAAGGTTTTAATATATATAGTATGGTCACACAAAATTAACACTATATTTAATTTTTTTTAATCTTTCGGCATAAGGAACTTTGTGTACTTGACTCGTTTCAAAGATAATTATGCGGTGTAAATTCTATATAACGACACTCAAGGGATTGTGTCTATTTTGACGTTACAAGGGGTTGCCGTTAAATGGAATTGTGTTAGTAATTACATAAAAAACAATTCTCTGTCATTCTATAATCTGTTATTTTGGTCACGGCTTTTGCTGCGCCAGTAATTATGTTGTATTTTTTTACTTATTTTATTCATTTTGCGATTTTGAGGCATCTTCGTGATAAAGTACGCTCAAGCAATCCCAATTTGTAAACAAAAGAACGGATTTCTCAGAAAGTTCAGTACGTATGACGAGAACCGACAGTTTATTTCTCGCTAGGACAATAAAGCGACAAAAGTGTACGTTACACAGCTCCGCAGTTTTGACTAATTTCGGCAACTTAAAAGGTACTTTTTAGTATTTGTTTGTTATTGAGGGCGGGTGTAATGCTATGTAGAGTATCATCGTATGGAAGACAAGCTAAACCAACCAAAGCCAATTGATTTCGACGCATTAGGGTGTTTGTGGTTAAACATGGAGTTTACACTGTATATATCTTCACGACTTTTTCCCGAATGGGTAGGCAGAGACAACGGTTCTCCACTTGCTACGAATCTGACCGCTCTCGCTTTTTCCACTTACATGACATTCACCATGCAAGCTCACCAGTTTTGGGAACTTTTAACTACTCCCTTCTCCTTTTGGATTTGGTCCAGGTATGTACGACAAGGCCTACCACGGTCCATTATTGAAACTGAATTACTGTTTCATTTAGTAAAATCGTATAAAATAGCTGCATACTCAAAATATCTTTATTCATATAGGTATCAAATACACTTATGAACGTCAAAAAAGAAGTTAAATGAATTGTAAATTTACATTTACTACGAGGGCTGCACTAAAAGTATCGGAAATGGAATAATACCACTGTTCCTGTCATATTTAAATCTTTTTAATTGAAAACTCCTTGGTTTTAAAAATCGAAACCTTTTTTTTTTTAAAGATCTCGGTCTTGTCACGAAGTTTTGTCAAACTTGTTTAGTCGTTGAGAAAATAGAATTGACTCGAGAAAATGCAAGAGCGATGATTTATTATGACTTTCGAAGTGGTTTATCACAAAAACAGTGTGTTGACCGGATGATTTCTGCATTTGGTGATAAAGCCCCATCCAAAACCACAATTTATCGCTGGTTTGCTGAATTTCAACGTGGACTTGTCAAGCTCAGTGATGATCCCCGTCAAGGTTGTCCAAAAACTGCAGTCACCCAAGAAAACGTTGATGCTGTGCGTAAGCTGATTGAGGAAGATCGACATGTGACATACCGCAAAATTCAGGCAACTTTAGACATTGGCATGAGTCAAATACAAATAATCTTGCATTAACAATTAGGTGTTGTTTTCCCGATGGATACCGCATTGCTCTGTGAAGAGAAAAAAGCGGCTCGCGTTGCTTGGTGCGTCAGAACTCTCGAAAGATTCCACGCAGGATCCTCAAATGCTGTATACAACATCGTATCAGGTGACGAATCCTGGATATACGCGTACGAACCCGAAACAAAAAACCAGTCACGAGTTTGGGTGTTCGAAAATGAGTTAAAGCAAAGTAAAATTTCTATACTTTCCCTAAAATAAAGAATAAATTTTGTGGTCAGAGATTTTCATCACCTGAAGAAGCTGTGGACGCCTACAAAACGGCCATTTTGGAGACCCCAACTTCCGAATGGAATGGTTGCTTCAATGATTGGTTCCATCGTATGGAAAAATGTGTCAAATTTCGCGGAGAATACTTCGAAAAGCAATAAATACATTTTTAAATAGTAATGTTGCGTCACTTCCTTGATTCCCGAAATTTTCAGTGCCGCCCTCGTACCAGTTCGCAAGTCAAGTTCCGCCTTTCCCAGTCATACAAATTGTTTGAATTGGAGCAAATCAATCCAAAGGATTAGGATCATTTAAGTATTCGTCACATTTATAAAAAGTGAAATTTATCGCGAGCCTTCTGGCAATGTGAGTGTCCATGGGCGGCGGTATCACTTAACATCAAGTGAGCATATATATATATCATGGAAAATAGCATTCCGGCTTCACATACCTAGCAGCTCGTCCGCGTATGGCCCCAGCAGTGCGCTCCAGCGAATCCGGGTCTCCCTCTTGCAGGGCTACTACACACTTGTTCACGTCCTCCAGAATGTGATTCTCTGTGAAGCAAATGAAAATGTTTACACATTAAATTTACACCGGAACCTACTTCATACATATAAAATTTGCCTAAGCAGATATTGATACGATTTTGATCTCTTCCCTAAATTGTATTATTAAATGAAATGAAAACTTCCTGCTTTCTTAATATAATATGATTGTCAACTTTAGATGGATCTCTCGCTCTCAGAGGCCCTCTCTCTCACACACTCTGATCACCCTCGTTCTTCTCGAAGTATTAAATAAAAGCTAAATTTTTCACACCAAAAGAATAGATAGATAGTTTATAAAACAGTTCTTTATTATTAGACAGTTGGCTTGATCGAGACGGTTCTTAGCTATTAATTATGATGATTAGTTCAGGTATTACTTAAGTGTAATGGTTGCAGCTCCTTACAAACGTTGTGTAAAACAAAAAACTCGGCGATTAAAAAGAGTGGCGGAGAGTTTATTGCCAGTTCTTCTCTTCCGTTCGCGCCCTTGATTTGAGAACTGGCAGTAAATGTAAAATTAGAAGCATTTAATGTATATTTATTTTTTGACGTTCATAGTGTACGTTGTGTTACCTATAGGCAATATGAATAAATGATTTTTGACCTTGACTTTGACTTGAACTGCAGAAATCTTACATAATAGATGCCTACTTTTTTAATAAACGGGCAGGAGGCCATCTGATGCTATGTGATACCCATGGACACTCAATGCCAGAGGGCTTTAAGAATTGGTACGCTCTTTACTTGAAGGACCCAAAGTCGAATTGGTTCGGAAATGATGATGAAACTCAGCTGCTATTAATCCGAGCCTATGTATGTTAGTGTGGCGAACATGAATAACACTCCTCTTTTCCACCGCGTGGTGATTCTACCGTTATGCGTGATAGCCGTGCGGTGGGCGGAGCCTACAGCCAGTCTCAGCGCGGAGGCGCTCAATTCACGACAATCTTTCGCTCAGCTTTCTCTTCTTTCTATTTTTCTCGCTTCGTACTAACTTTGACTAGTGTACTGTGTAATTATTAAGCTATTGCACAGATTTTATCGCGGGCTTTGAGCGCGGCGACCGAATCAAGAAATTCTGTCACGAAAATAAAAACCTAACACACGATGACGTAATATAGGTGCGGCCAATACGCGTTAGAGCGGGACAGAACGCATACTGCGTCTAACATCGGTCTGGCGTGATCGGTGACGTAGCGTAAGCGCGGCCGGTGCAGCCGGTACGCGTTAGAGTGAGACAGACTATATAGGCGTGTTAGTCTGGTAGAGTGGTAGATTGAATTAATATCAAAGAAAAAAAATACTGCATAAATAAAAAATAAATAAATAATTATAATTGTATAAGTTGCATAATGCTATGCCATAGCTTTACCGCCGCAATCCCCAAATGCCACAATTTTTTTTAATATAAGTATTTCTGTGCTGCCTCGCCTCACGCGCACCTATTTTAGTAATGGAGCAACTCTAACCCTCAAACAAGCCGTAGTATCTGAAGACTCACCGCTAACAGCCAAGAAGTCGTCAATAGTGGTCAAATCGTCCACGGCGTCGGTCAGCAGTCGCACGGCGGCTTCCCAAGCGCGACCGAAGGCGCGTCCGTTCTCCTGCGCGACGCGCGAACGGCTACGAGCCGCGAGGACGCGACACGCGTTGATCACCTGTGTCGATCAGATTTTCATCACTATTTGTATAATATGCAAACTCAAACTCAAACTCAAAATATCTTTATTCAAGTGGGTAACCAAGTACACTTTTGAATCGTCAAGTTAAATTAATCATAAATTTACATTTACTACCAGTTCGCAAGTCAAGGGCGTAGAGCGGGTAAGAAGAACTGGCAAGAAACTTTCCGCTACTCTTTTTAATCGCCAAGTATTGTCATACAAATTGTTTGAACTGGAGCAAATCAATCCCAAGGATTAGGATCATTTAAGTAGTCCTCAAATTTATAAAAGGCTTTGTTGATTAATTTTCGTTTAACAAGGGCTTTGAATTTATTTAGTGATAATACCTACTCTAATTTCGCTTGGGAGTTTGTTGTAAAAACGAATACAATTTCCATATAAGGAGTGGTTTATCTTTTGGAGCCTGGTTGGTCGTACACTCAAATTAGTTCTATTTTGCGTATTATACTGGTGAAAGTCACCATTTGTTTTAAAATCGTTTATATTTTTTTGGACATACAACAAGGCTTCAAGAATATATTGACCAGATAGTGTCATAATATTTAATTCCTTAAACTGGGTTGTAATACAATATTTATCTATTGGTTTTGGGTATAAATATGGGTTTTGGTACGTACCAGAACTCACAACAACGAATTATTTTTGAAGTGAAAACTTCTTTAGCGGCGTTGTAAACTTTTTTTGGAATGGGTAAAAAATGTTAAACTCGCGTCAGGACAAATTCGTAAGAAGGATGTTTTTTTAAAGGATTATGAACCATCGTGCTATATAGTTACGGTTTTAATTCATTTCTCTTTCCTCAGATACATTGATGCACGTGGAATTGGACCTTAAGTCTTGCGAAACGTCTAAAGCTTTATTATTAACGATTTGGTCACACTGACGACGGATAGAGAGTAGACAGCTGACGCGGCGTATATAATCTAATATAAATTGTCATGTTTGTGTACGATAGCGCAATAAATAAATATTGTATTCTACCACATAAATGATAGTACTTTTATACTGATAATTAAAGCAATTCGTGCAAAATTATTCCCTAACCATTCCAAAATATCAAATATGCACAGCGTTAATATTCAAGTTTTCCCTTCTGCCGGCACTCCCGGAGTGCATACGATTTTGATGAAACTTGGGCTGTTCTTTAAATTGTCTTGTTCTGATTCGAAATTTGTGGACAAACATAAACGTATTAAATTTAGCACATGTGATGGAAAAAATAAAGTGCAGTAGCTGTACAAGAACTTTTTAGGCCCAGCCTTGAACATACCTGAGGGCAGAGAGCTTCGATCTGTCCGGCCGCGTGCCTCACCATTTTGACGCCGTCTTCGTTGTTGGACATCGAACACACGAGGTTCGCTACCTGGAGTCAAATAGATCTAGATTAGTTTATGCTCGTTTAGTTACATAGAATAGACAAATGTAAAGTTGTCTGGAAGAATCTATGCCCAATATTAGACTTTAGTAATTTTTTCTCTATGGTAATAAAATTATTATTTTTTTAACAATATTCAAAAACTACTTGCACTAGCACACTGCACTTTGAAAAACGAATTATTTTCTTTATTTAATGTAAATCTCCACATCGTCATTTCTGCAGTAAAATGTTCTAAAATATATGACAAATATGAAAATAAAAATGGCAAAATAATAAAAATATTACACTTACAAAAAGAGGAATGTAAATATAAATTTCACACTATAGAAATATAACTTGAGTAATCTCCGCGTTATAGAGGGATTACTGTATAGATGTAACTTATTTAAAAATGTTTATTAAAGTTCTCTCGATTGTGATTCTAGGAAAATTAATTGATTAAATTAAAGTTATGTTTTAGGTTTAAGTCGATGTGTGACTCCCTGGTTTTTAATTTTCAAAAGTACATTTAAATCCGTCCATTTAAGAGAAACGTAAGAACTCTCTGAATAATCTTTATAGTCATTATTTATTTATTTCGTTATCCTACAGCTAACATATAATATATAACATAAAACAATTATACTAAAGATATAGTCAAAGATGGAATGCATAATATATACAAAAAGAATTTAAACATTTACGAAAGGAAAAATCAATAAAAATTATCAAATACATTTAACTAAGTAATACCTAATTCGGGTGTGTTGTGTGGTGGTGTGAAAGTGTGTGTACGCAATAATCTATAAAAAAATGAACATTACACACACTATTTTCAGTCCACGATTTATTCCTTATACCTGATAAAACAATTAATTTTACATATGTATAACATACAAATGTATTTTAAACTGTGTATTTACATCAGTAACTGACCTCGACAAGTTTATTAGCGTGTTCAGTGAAGACAACGGCATACTCCTCGACTTCCTTCTCATTGCCGTTGCGAGCCGCCTCCATCAGAACCAGCAGAGGAACGTTGGTCTCCAGGAAACTGAAGTACGACGATACAGGTATTCATCGAGTAATTACAATTCTAATTATCTTGACAGATGCCGTGACAGTTGTGTTGGGTGGTAGGTTGTAAGAAAACAACCTCTACATTTAATTTTAAAAAATAATAATTTTAAGGGTTTAAATTTAGTTAAATTAGGGTAATATAGTTAAAAATAAGATTTGTGTATAATATAAAGTGATTATACAGTGTTTTTTGTCGCGAGAACTTGGCAAAACAGGGATCTAAAACCGGCTGTCAACTCAACGCCTTAACGGTAACGTAGTTTAAAATATCGTCAAACCTGGGGAGTATTTTGTTCTATTTAAGTTATATTTACTGACTACATAAGATCATAAAATACTGCTCAGTTTTTGGAGCTACGTCCATCACACATTGGCACGGTTTATGTCTCATTTTGCTTGACAACTAGTGGAAGCAAAATCGACGACGAAAACATTCGCCCAGACAATTAATACCACATAATTTACTTGACAAAATAAGCCCATTTTGTGTGTATTTAGGTTTCATTATATATTTATAGGTAATAAATAGTACAACTACCACCACTCACACATAACAGTTATATATACATACCTTTTTCGCTTGTTCATTGCATACAGTCCCTATTATACAATATGATGACTCGCAGAGGCTTGGCTTTGCAAGAAGAGTCTAAACTTAAATTAGCACTGACTGAATTGCAGTCTTGCAGGGATTTATGTACCCAGTTAACAAGTGAAAGAGAAGAAAATGAAAAAGAACTCTTAAGTGTGCTGGAAGGCAACAGGAAGCTCAAAAATGAAATGTCCTTGCTATTTCAAGAAAATAATTCACTCAAAGATCAGTGTGTTATGCTTCAGCAGGAATTAAATAAACTTGATAGTTATGGTAATGAGTATGAAGTTGCTTTGCTGCGCATAAGAAGTCTTGAAAAACAGCTATTGGAGGCTCAACAATATATTAATAACCTGGAGGCAGTATCACAAAGTGTAAAAGATACACACACAAACATTTTATATAATACATTAATTCATGATTCAGGTTCTACACCAACTCATAATGTAAAAAGTTTAGGTAAAAACAAAATAAGAAAATATATTAAAATTAATAAATACATTAAAAAGACACAGAAGTTAGTAAAACAATATAGAAATGTAAACAGTGTGGATTTAAAAGTTCAAAACACACAACTTCAAAATGAACTTGACTTGCATTTAATTGAAACTGAAAATGCTAAATTAAAATATGAATCTGACACATTAGATTTAAAAACAGAAATTTTAAAATTACAAGAACTTACAAACAGTCTCACTTCTAAATTTGAAGAATCACAATGTATGGTAGAAAAATATTCTTCTGCAATGGAAGATCTGCTTCAAATTTCTAATTACACCGCAGAATGTTATGAGCAATTACAGAATAAAACTTATGGTTGCAATTATAAAAGCCTCCAATTACCACAGACATCACAACACACTCACAGCCTCACCTACACCACAACAAACACTCAGTTAAAGGAAAAAATTAAGGCAAAAGAAAGGAATTTAATGTATTCCGATGAAATGGGTAAGGACATGGGTACTATTGTACAATTAAATGACGGCCAAACATTTATAAACAGCTGCTATCCCAATGCCACTTTTAAAAACATTGTGAAAAATCATATAATCAAAAACAATGATAAATGTAATAATTTAATAATTTTTATAGGGAACAGGGGAAATGTAAATAAACATGATCTTTTAGTATTATATGAAAAACTTTGTTGTTTAGACTCTAAGAGGATTGTTATGTTTACATTTCCCTATAGCCAAAGCTTTCCTAAGGAAGAAAATGACACAAGATATATTCTTAATCAAACATTGCATACATTGGCAATGTATAATGATAAATTTTGTGTCATAGATACCAATAGGTATACGAAAAAGTTTTTTATTACAAAGGGTAGATATTATTACCTACCTGCTTTCTTAAAAAGACAGATAGCTGTTTCGCTATCATATTTTATAGAGATGACAGCCAAGAATTTGGCTAGACCCCTTGCTTCTATTGAGCAAGCATTAGATTATAAGACCTTGGAAGAAATTCCAAATAATATTTATTTAAATTAGATAATAGGACAACAGAGCACCACTCTTGCAATAATAAGGTAAGTATATTATGTGATAAAATTCATTCCCAAAAAATTATTGTGGTTCATCAAAATATACAGGGGATGAAAAATAAAGAATTAGAAATTGAACTATTCTTGAATAGTCAAAAAATAGACTTTTTGTGCATAACAGAGCACTGGTTAAAAAAATATGAAGTTTTGTTTAATTTTTGTAACCACAGGGTTGGTAGTGTGTTTTGCAGAGAAAATGCAATTCATGGTGGCTCATTAATCCTAATAAGTAAAAAACTTAAATGCAAAGAAAGAAAGGATATTATCAGCCTCTCTGTAGAACTAACTATTGAAATCTCCTGTGTGGAACTGGAGCAATTCATTGTTGTATGTCTATATTGTCCTCCATCAGCTGTCTATAATAATGTTGAAAATGTATTAGAGGAGATATTGTGTAAATTAGTAAAGTGTAATAAAGGGCTAATTGTGTGTGGGGACTTTAATGTCAATTTACTTTGTCATTCTAATTCAAGTGTACGCACACTTAGTCTTTTTCGTTCATACAATTTAATAAATCAATTTCATTCACCCACAAGAATAACAGCTAGCACCGCAACTTGTATAGATAATATATATAGTGACATAGCCCCTTTGAATGTTTGTATTTTCAATAGATTTAAATCTGATCACACTGGTCAATGGTTTGAATTCCAATTAAGGAAACAAAAAACATGTAAAAAGAAGAAAATTGTGATAACTCCTATTACAAATGACCGTCTGGACAGATTTAGAGAAGCATTGGTCTATAGAATGCCATTTCTGTGTGGCAACTCATCCCCTAATAATTTATACAATACTTTTTTTGGATCATTTATTGATGAATTCAAGAAAGTATTTACTCAAAAGACTTTATTGGTCTCTGAGAAAACAAGTTTCTGTGACTGGGCAAATGAGGAGTTACACAGGAAAAGGTTAAAATTATATGAAATCTATGACGAAATGCAATATAACACTAGTGTGGAATTTAGGGAATATGTTAGGTTGTATTCAAATAATTTCAAAAAAGATTGCAAAACTGCAAAGTCTCAATATTTAAGTTCAAAAATAAAAAATAGCATGGATAAAGTAAAAGCTACCTGGAAAATAATAAATGAAGAATCAGGTAAAACGTCTGACAAACGAACTGATTATATGTTAAAAGTTAAAGGGAAGTTAATAAAATCTGACCCAGAGGTAGCTTCTTCTTTTGAAGAGTTCTTTACAAATGTACCACTAAATACGACCAAGTCCCTAGATTCTTCACCTGCTGCTGCGATCTCATTGCTAGAAAAATGTGTACCTGAATGTAATATTAAATTTCAGTTTAAACATATAACTTGTAATGATATCGTTAAAACTTTTAAGCTTATTAATTTAAAAAAAAGTAAAGATATATGGGGTATGTCAACAGTCATTTTAAATTCCGTTATTAATGTAATAAGCTCTGAATTGTCTATAATTTTTAACAGATGTATCGATTGTGGAGTCTTTTCGGACGAAATGAAATTAAGTAAGATTACACCGTTGTTCAAGGCCGGTAGTGAGTCTGATCCGTCAAACTTCAGACCTGTTTCCGTGCTCCCTGCGTTGAGCAAAGTTTTTGAAAAGATAATGCTAGACCAGCTTTCTTTACATTTTAATAAAAATAAACTCTTACATAATAAACAGTATGGTTTCACTAAGGGTCGCTCCACAATCGATGCCGGTGTGAAGTTGATTTCGGACATATTTAACGCCTGGGAAGAATCATATGATGGAGTCGGCGTCTTTTGTGACCTGTCAAAGGCCTTTGACTGTGTTCATCCTGATATACTCGTTGGAAAGCTTCAACACTATGGCGTTGATGGCAAAGCTTCCAGCCTGATGAATTCATATTTAAAGGGAAGGATCCAAAGAGTTCATGTCAATGGAGTCACCTCTCCGGGTTCGCAGGTATCAATGGGCGTCCCCCAAGGATCGATTCTCGGGCCTTTCTTATTTCTGATTTACATAAATGACCTCCCATTCTTTGTCAACGAAGTTCATGAGATGGTATTGTTTGCTGATGACACTTCACTTCTATTTAAAGTGAATAGGAATAACGTATTATTGGACGATGTAAACAATTCTATCTCTCGTATAGTTAACTGGTTTAATGTAAATAACTTATTGCTTAATGAGAATAAAACAAAATGTATTAGATTTACAACTACTAGCGTAAAGCGAGATATTGGTAACCTGAAAATTAAGGACAGTGAACTAAACTTTGTTGACAAAACTGTTTTTCTAGGCATAACAATAGATAGTAAACTCCAATGGGGCCCACACATAGAGACTCTTTCGAATAGGCTGAGCTCTGCAGCATATGCAGTAAAGAAAATCCGACAGTTTACTGATGAGGACACGGCTAAAATTGTGTACCATAGCTACTTTCATAGCGTTATGTCGTACGGCATTTTACTGTGGGGTGCTGCTGCAGAGGTTCAATCCATATTTGTGCTGCAGAAGCGGGCTGTTCGGGGTATTTGTTGTGTTTCTCCGAGGGAGTCGGTACGGAATAAGTTTAAGGAATTAAATATTATGACACTATCTGGTCAATATATTCTTGAAGCCTTGTTGTATGTCCAAAAAAATATAAACGATTTTAAAACAAATGGTGACTTTCACCAGTATAATACGCGAAATAGAACTAATTTGAGTGTACGACCAACCAGGCTCCAAAAGATAAACCACTCCTTATATGGAAATTGTATTCGTTTTTACAACAAGCTCCCAAGCGAAATTAGAGAATTATCACTAAATAAATTCAAAGCCCTCGTTAAACGAAAATTAATCAACAAAGCTTTTTATAAATTTGAGGACTACTTAAATGATCCTAATCCTTGGGATTGAATTGCTCCAGTTCAAACAATTTGTATGACAATACTTGGCGATTAAAAAGAGTGGCGGAAAGTTTCTTGCCAGTTCTTCTTACCCGCTCTACGCCCTTGACTTGCGAACTGGTAGTAAATGTAAATTTACGATTAATTTAACTTGACGATTCAAAAGTGTACTTGGTTACCTACTTGAATAAAGATATTTTGAGTTTGAGTTTGACAGTTGACAGGGGAGTTATTGTCAATTGTCATACGTAAGTTAATGACAGCTGTCGTAAATTGTAAGTGACATTTTTTAAATCTTCATACATTAACTAAATTCATAATAAATACTCATAAGATAATTATATCAAGTGCTATATTAATTATAAATTAACAAACATAACTGCATCTTGTAAATGGCACAACGAAAAGATCAATGCAATTAAAACAAATAAAATAAATCAGTGGCGCTACAACCTTTTTAGGTCAAGGGCTCAGATTTCTAAATCTGTTTCATGATTATTTGTCTAATAGGCAAGTAGGTGATTAGCCTCCTGTGACCCACACCGTCGACTTTTTGGATCTAAGGCAAGCCGGTTTCCTCTCAATGTTTTCCTTTACCGTTCGAGCGAATGTTAAATGCGCACATAGAAAGTGCACAGTCGGGGATCGAACCTACGACCTCAGGGATGAGAGTCGCACGCTGATGCCACTAGGCCAACACTGCTCATGCAATTATAAACATAATATAATAATTTCAATAGTAACCTGTCAGACACATGATCCACCACAGCCTTCCTCAGCTGCCGGCGCAGGTCGCGGGTCTTACGGCACATGTGCTCCAGCGCACGTTCCAAGCCCTCGGATTGTTCGGGACGACCGGCCTATAAATTAACTTTATTTCAGATACGAGGCACATGACAATACAATTATGTAACATTGTTGATATCTTGTTTTTGAAGTAAAATTTCTTTAGGCGCATAAGGGTAAAAATTCAGCGTTTTTGTCGAAAGGGAGACAGCGATTGAGAGAGTGTGAGACGGGCGAATTACCTTATAGAAATTCTATTTTTAAATAATAATTTATTGAAATCTTAAATTAAATTTATTATTTGTATTAATTTTCAGTACTTTAATATTTTAATGACAATTAAATTCATTAAATTCCTAAATATCATCCCTTTTCCCTCCCTCTAAGTCTCGGAAATGTAAAGTTTTAGATTTGTATAAATATGAACAAGAGTTAAAAATTAGTTTGCCAAAGAAGTTTCACATTTGACATGTATACTTTGTACGCACGCACTTTTTTTTACAGAACGGAACGCTCTATTCATGTTAAATGATACCGCCATTATTGGACATTTCTCAATGCCAAAGGCCTCGCAAGTACGTTGCTAGCGATTTAAGAATTGGTACACTCTTTTCTTGAAGGAGGCTAAGACGACTAAGCGAGTATTTTGGCAAATACCTCCGAAATTCCGGCATTTCTGTCTGTTTACATGACATGGTCTGTTCACCTTCTTTAGGAATATCTATATTTGACTTGTTAAATACGCTTATCAATATTTAGTTCTTATACGAACCTTAGTTTTTGCTTGCCACAACAAATTTACAAACATTTTGTTTTTATATTAATTATCACATGATTAGGGACACAAGTCCTTCAATCGCTAAGCTAGCCTAACATTAACATTAACACCGAAATTATAATATATATAAAAAGATTTTATATAGTTTACAGTTATCACATATACATTTTTTTACGATATATAAATATAGGTGATCACTTACATTGGTCATATATTCGTGGAGCAACTCCTGCAAAGCCTGACGCACGGCGTTGCACTCGGCCACTATGCGCTCGCGACGCTCGTCTCTGGAAGATTAACGCTATGGGCTATGGTCAACTGTCTACTATCTATCTATATCTCACAATTAGGGGTCAGATAGAGATAATTCACTGGTAGTTGTGAACTCAAAATGGCAAAATAACAATTCAACATAAATCTAATTTATAAAGTTTTAACTGAATTATGCATTTGTCTCTTTTCTTCACAATGTAAACACAATTTGACAGAAAGAGACAAAAGAATACTTGAGTAAAATAAGTGAAATTAGGCTGCGTACATGGTCATTCTTATAGAAAGAGAATAAGAGGAATGTAAGAAGCTTTTGTGACATATTGGTGGAATAAAATTCTTGATGATCATTCACCGAGTACAAGAGCTGTCGGCCATAAGTGCTGCGCCAGAAATGATGGATTCAAGCCTCTCCTCGAGCGACGGACGTGTACGCAGCTCGGAATACGCCAGTGGCTCCATCACCATACGCTCCTGAATTTAAAAAAAAATTATGATAGATAAATAGGTAAAGTTTAATAAAAAGAACCAAGATGACGCAATAAAAAGCTATAAAATAAGACTACTATTCAAAAATAATCATTTAGTCAAAAAGTATGTGTTGTAGAAAAAAAAATTATATTTTATAAGTATCAATATAAATGAATGATAAATTCCTTAAGAAATATACCACAGATAGCACCAACTTTGATGACACAACAGAGTATGTTACAGATTAAAATTAGTTTTACTTAAAAATGGGGATAGTCTATAGAACTTACATCAAAGTCATCCAAAGCCTGAGCCAATTCTCCTGGACCCTCCACTGGGACACGGTTAGTACCTAGAATAACCCAAAATAAAAATAAATACATATATAATAAGCCTTAGTTTAATAAAAAAAAACGGCTGCATTTTCAGAAAATATATTTTAAAAAAAATGCGACAAAAATTGTAAGATATTTTTTAATGAAAGCTTGTTCAAATGTTAAAAATATAAATACAGTGTAAACTCCATGTTTAACGACAAACCCCCTAAAGCGTCGAAATCACTCGGCTTTGGTTGGTTTAGCTTGTCTTCTATACACATGATACAATCTACATAGCATTACCCCCACCCTCAGTAACGACAATTTAATAATAAAAAGTACTTAAGTTTCCGAAATTAGTTAAAACTGCGGAGCTGTGTACATTCTTTTGTCGATTTATTTTCCGAGCTAGAAATAAACTCGACTGTAAAATTGTCGAAAAAATATAAAAAAAATATTTTGGGGTATGAAAAATAGATAGTAGCCGACTGTCAGACCTACTGAATATGCATATAAAATTTTATAAAAATCGGTCAAGCCGTTTTGGAGGAGCTAACTAACATTGTGATACGATAATTTTTTATATTACATTAAACAATCATAGTGTGGTCTTACCAGTATTAGGAGTGGGTCTGCCCTGAGCGACAGCGGAGATGGTGTCAACGGCGGAACACACAGCACGAAGAACGAAGTCACGGTTGGCCTTTGCAGCAGCCAATTCCGGGTGACGAACGTATACCTTTAGAAGTTATAAAGAATGTACAATTTTGGTTCCTTTATCCAGTGAAGCAACTACTATTTTGTTAAGATCAAAAGGCTTCATTTAATTAGGAAAATGCTTGTTGAATTAACAATGAAAATTTATATGTCTAATAATTTATATGTGTAATTCTGGAGGTGCTAGATTCGATTCTTGGGGAAGAAGATTCGTAAAGAAGCCTAGTAAAGATTTGTCCAACATATGCCCCATGTAATTTATGTACAGGAAATAATATAACATTTCAAGATTTTATGTGATTTAGAAATCATTTTCAACAACATTAATACCTTAGAGGCAGTGAGCAACATAGTGGAGTGCTTCTTCAGAACAGCCCTGGCTGCGGCCAGCTCGTCCTTCATCCTTGGCTCCTTGAGTTCCTTCTGCCTTTTAGCCGCTTGAGCAGCCAATTCACTGGCAGAACGACCAAATTGCCGAGCGCTCTCTATCAGTTCAGATTGAGAGGAAGCCGATTTCAGCTTGTCAAGATCTTTTTCCACCTGAATTTATATTACGAACAAAATTAGTTTCTAAAATTTTGGGCTTCTTAATGGCCATTGGAGATGAATCTAACGAAGACAAAGATAATGAGTAATACACGAAAAAGACCTATAACTATCAATGGTAACCCTTTAGAGTATGTAGAAAATTATACTTACCTGGGAAAAAGAATAAGTTTCGAGGAAAACAGTAACATTATAGAAATAGAGAGAAGGGTCCAACAAACCTGGAATAAATATTGGAGCCTAAAAGAAATATTTAAGAGTAACCTACCAATAACTCTCAAAGCTAAAGTTATGAACTCATGTCTACTACCCAGCTTAACTTATGGAAGCCAGACCTGGAAATTCTCTACACAAGCTGTGAATAAAATCAATGTATGTCAAAGAGGTTTAGAGCGAAGCATGTTGAATATAAAGAGAATGGACAAAATAAGACATACAAAGATAAGAGCCGTCACTAAAGTTACAAACGCTTTAACTTTTGCCCGAAAACTGAAATGGAATTGGGCTGGCCATGTGGCAAGAATGTCTAGCAGAAAGTGGACCAAACGAGTTACCCAATGGAAAGGACCACCAGGCAAGAGGCGGAAGGGGAGACCCTTAGACCGCTGGGAAGATGATCTGAAAAGATCAGCTGGCAAAAACTGGCACTCCATAGCACAGGACCGACAACAATGGGCATCTTTGGAGGAGGCCTTTACCCAAACCGGGGTTCCTGTTAAATAAATCCTATAAATATATATTACTAACATAATTTAAGCTAACCTACTAACAAATCAATATTTTTGGTAACTTTAATATAACAACTACCAACTTTTGTAAAACAGGAAATAAAAAAGGCTTTATTTATTTATTTATTTATTTATTTATTTATTTATATAATGGCCATTGATTAATAATATTTGTTAGGCTTTAAGTCTTATTCATTCCCAATCAGCAGAATTTATCAAATTCCCTCTGCAAAAACCAGCCTAGGCGTTCAAGCACATCTCATTCGAATTATTCGCGAATATAACGGATTAAATAGTACTTATTCCAGAGCTGTATATAAATATTAATTATAATTACTTCTATTGTTATAAGAATCCTACTTCTAATAATAATATAATTGTGATCAATTAAAATAAATAACAATCAATTTAAAAAAAATTAAGTGTTTATCTTATACCTAATCCGGTGTTTTGCCAGTAACATTTATGTTTACCAAAATTTTCATATATTTTAGAAAAAATAGCTTGTAACATATACTGCAGAAATAGCATTATGTATGATGTGGTAAACTTTAATAAATAAATAAGTCTTATTCACAAATTACCCCTTAGTGATATGAGAATGAATTTTGTTATGAAAGTTATAATATATATTAGAACTATATATATAAAGTTATAATTCTTGAAATAAACTTGTAGTTGTGATGTAATGTTTGTATTATTTAGAAAATAGATTGTAGTTTAATGTGAAACAATTATTTACAAACAAACATACTTTATATCATTTGTGTAGAAATAACTAAAACAATTTAAAAGAATATAAAAATCTTACCATTCTCTGTTTAGACAGCAACAGATGCACATCCACCATATCAGCAAGAATGAGCAGTCGAGTGACAGCAGAGAGCAGGCTGCGAGCCGCTCTAACCATACTGGAGCGGACAGATGATGCACAGGGCTCCTCAGAGAACTCACGAGCTGCCAGACTCATGGCTGCCCCTGCAATATTGATTCCGTTAAATACCACAGACAGATACATGACTCTTATAGAATTTGTAAAGTTATGATATAAACTCTCATTTTTAAACGTAAAACCAAGATTTTTGTTTGAATATACAGTGGTGGTCATATAATTATAAATACTTCTTCGAACTTCAACGTACAAATGTTCGTGAAAAAATACACTCAATATAATAATCATCTAATAAAAAAAAAAAAAGCCACTCAAATAAAAAACTCATTAAATCCATAAAATATAAAACATATCTTAATCTTAATTAAAAAATGAGTCTTACACATTTATTTTCTGTTACTGGCTTAGACGCCTAATTAGAAACATTTTAAAAAAGTATCCATAGCTCGTTTTTTTTCAATTGGAGAATAACATTTCTTTCTTACCTTCTTCTATTATTTTGGAGGCAATTCAAAATTTTATCTGAATTTTACTTTTTTCAAAATTGGCGAAAATAAAAGTTGTGACGCGTCAACTAGGCAAATAATTGTTAAGCGTAAAGAAATTAGCTGAGCATATAAATTGTTTTGTTAAAGCAAAGTTTTTAATGCATGTGACCATTATAAAACACATGGAACCGCTGAAAGAGTTCTTACAAAGGCTCGGCCAAGAGAAACCTCTCCCATAGAAGATACGCTAATTACACGTGTTGCTAAAAAGAACCAAGTAAAGGCTTTAGCCTGATGACCCGAGAAACATCTATATATATATATATATACGAGAGATACGCCGAAGATTAGTGGAAGCTTAATTGTTTGGACGAACCTCTCGAAAGGTACCACTTCTTACCAAGCCACATCGAAAGAAGCGATAATTATTCACTCTAATTATTAGACAGTACGAGAATAGAAAAAAAGTGTAATTTTCAGATGAAACAAAAATAAATATGGTAAATTCCGATGGAAAGCTCTATGTTAGACCTCCTGTAAACATTGCTTTTAATTATAAATAGACAAGGAGTATAGTCAAACACAGTGGCAAGCATTTGTTGAAGCATGGAGAATTCCAGGAAAATTGAATAATTTACCTGGAAAAATGTATGAACTATATTGAATCAATGCCACATCGTCGCAGCTATGGTATAGTTATTAAGAATAAGGGATATGCCACTAAATATTAATTATAACTATTGGTAGGCTGTGGAAAGTAGCTATTTCGTAAATAACAATACTCATTACTAATACTTAAAAAAAAATATTTTTAATACTTTTTGTTCTTGTTTCTAATTGTTAAAACCATTACTGTTCATAAAACTGATTTAAATGTTTGTCCATAATGTTATATTGAAACTGCACTTGTGCAATTTATATTGCTTTTATAATAAATGATAAATCGTTGAACGTATGGTTGTCCCATTTATTGTTTAATTTAAAAATAAAAACAATTGCGGTGAAGTATCTTACATAATGTCAATGACCGTTGGTAGTGTTTCTAATTATACAACCACCACTGTATAGCATAATTTAAAATCTATAGTAATATCTCAAATTCAATGCAATTTAATGTAGTTAAACTAATACTCACCAGCCTTTCTAACTTGCTCAACTGCAGCCAGCATCTCCTGAGTGATTTCTGGGTTCTCATAAGCGATTGTCTGTCCCCTTTCTATGAATATTTCTGTAGCTCGCTCTACAGTTGCTACTAAGGCACTGGCTCTCTTAGATTTGCCAGCTAAAATTTTATAACATAATCTAGTTTTTATATTTTGCAAAATACATGATTATGTTCATTTAATTATAATTTAGTTTATTATTGTTAATCATCAAAGATTTAATGTGTTATGCCCATATTTAAAACTATGTATGGACATCCAAGAATTTCTTAGTCTCTATGGACCAAATCACCAATTATCATTAATGGAGTAATATTATCATACTTGCTATGATAAATATACTATACTCACGTCGTTTCTTTTTAGCTGCCTTATCCTTGCTGTTAACAAGGGTAGTAACCTGCAACACCAATGGCTCAAGGGTCCTCTCAACAGACATGGTACGTATCTCCAAGTTTTTAGGATCCCATTTCAAGGACAAAGTCCCAGTTGTGTCATAGGGGTCTGCCATGGTTGTCATTCTACAACAAAAGACATACAGAACTGGGATAAGTTAATATTTACAATATGTATGTAGTTTTTTATACACAAAAAACTGTCAATTATGCAAATTATGGCAGGTCAATGGAAAATCTTCACTTTTAAATAGCCATTGTGGCTAACACAATTTTATAGATAAGATCATAGGTTTACCATCAGATGATAGGGGAAAAAATTAAATCTATGTACTATTCTTTATTAAAATTAAAAACAGATTCATTCATATTGTTATAAGACGTCTATTACTGAGATTTGGATTTAAATGGTAAAGAAAACAGAGTGTCTAAAACTCAGTAGTTATTGGGAAAGCTTAACAGGCGAAACAATAGGTGCCTTACTTATAAAGCAGTATAATCGTGACTCATAAACCAGATCACTGAGAGGTAATCTTTACTCCATAAGAAGCAAAATGTAATTTATTTACAAATTAGTTATAATTTAGCGAAATAAATTTACAATTACCTTTAACTTGATAAAAACACAGTTATTTTAACAATCAACAAACAAATAGGAAAGGCGAAATAATACGCCCAGTTTAAAAAGTAGGTCAATTCGATAAGACTACATGAATAAATAATATCATTATATTTTGTCGTATAATATATTGACTTTTGTTTGAAAAGACATACCTTATCTAGAAATGCCGCCTAGAACTAACAATTTACAATTAACTGTATTAATAAGTTCCTTCACTAGAAAGCTCACAAAATACACACACGGAAACGAAGAGCTTTAATATTAGGAAAAGAAAGCATAGAAAGGTGTGTCAAAAACAATCCAATATGCACAGACTACCACAACCACACTCCACAGACTATGTTGCAAATTTGGGACTAGAATTTCTGAAAATATTATATTTGTCATATGTCAAGGTCAGTTTTTAAGTTATAACGGTGCTACTAAAATTACTTAAAGTGGGATGTTTTATTCGAATTCAGGAAAAAAATGAGATCATAAGCAATAAAGAAATAATTTATAACAACACAAACAACCTACTACTGCTACAGGATAAAAGCATCAAAAAATAAATTACAACCGGTCTAGCATATCATGGCAAGTTTTTGTTACTTCATGTTTCTAAAGAGGAGTGCGCTTACGAAGGGTGACTGTGAGAAAACTTTTTGAAATCGAAGCGTCATTTGCCGATATGGATTTCGAAGGGACGGTCGTTGTCTGTGAACTCATCAGACTCAGAAGAAAATAAAACCGAAAAGAATATTGGCCACACCCCTTTTGGAGTCACAGGCTAATAAGTGGAAGTTCTACACTATGTTCCTATCCCATCCTTCAATTTTCAAAGTAATATCAGAGTAGTCTTTCAGTTTTTTAACATAGAGTAGGTACTGGTCTCTTTTCCACTTCTTCAATAATGATGTCATTATCAATATCGCCTTCACGGATATTCACTTTTTCTGTAGATGATAACGCTATTTTGCGTGCACCAAAGTCGAGAATCGAAAGGCAAATGCGAACGAACGATGCTGAGGCCTAAGAGTGACAATTTTGTCACTCGTGCACGCACTGTCTAGAAAAACGAACGGCGCCGTGATAGTTTTGTCATGGGCTTGTTCGCCGGTCAGCGTATTTACATAATATCACCCAATTATCACGTCGTAACATGCGCGCATCTCCATACATATCCACAGACTTGTTATGAGTGGTGAAACAGCACATTTAATCCTATAGAAATGATTGGGGTATAATGAAGCAAATAGTTGGTGATAAAAATGTAAATAGACATATTATGTAGACAAAAAAACACCTCTTTATCTACATCATCTGATGAAGAACAAGAAATGCCAGTGGAGTTCTTAGAATCGTTTTCTAATTCTGAATGAGGTTTTAAGTTATTTGTATTTTACGATTGATTTATTTTATGAACCCGGTGTATAACAACGTCCTTCATACAAGTAACTAATATACGTCATGTTCATATTTTATTCTAAACATTTCAAGATCATTTAATCCAATTTCCCCAGTATTGCCCACAACTATACAACGTATTTTTACTTAAACAAGATTTCATTATTATCTGTAGACTAGCTGACCGGGCAAACGTCGTTTTGCCATATATATCATTTATAATAAAAAAATAGGGGTTGATCGTAGAGGGGTGAAAGTTAGGGGTTTGTATGTATTTTTTAATGCTGTATCATAAAAACAGAAAAAAAATCTAAAAATAAAAAAATAAATATTTAGGGGTGGACTACCCTTAACATTTAGGGGGATGAAAAATAGATGTTGTCCGATTCTCAAACATACCCAATATGTACACAAAATTTCATGAGAATCGGTCGAGCTGTTTTGGAGGAGTATGGCAACGAAAACTGTGACACGAGAATTTTAATTATTAGATAAAGGGAAGAGATCACACGTCGCTGCTTAGGAAATAATTATACTTGGAGCCGTTTAAATTTAAAATTTTAATTGAAATAAGTCGACCATGCTTATGTTTCACCACTGAATATAGTTTAATTTAAATCGGAAGCTAAAAAGGTCTTTTTTGCCTTACATTTTAACACGTTCACTGCGGCAAGTAAAATCATAATTCTTCTTTAGGTGCGGCGGCGGGCCAAATGCGCCCCCAAAGATATTTCCGCCAGTGCGTGGCAGGTCTTTCTAGACCCAACAGCACTAGGATAGATTAAATTGCTATAACTTTGACCTGAACCCCACTAGAATATATTTTTAATAGTGATGAGACAGAGAAATAAGGGGATATCGAAAATAAAACAGAATTATCGTAAAAGAACTGAAAAATTTATTTATTTACTATATTATTTTATTTACACAAATACAGTATTTACAATGTTCTTAACCTATAAAGTAATAATAAAAATAATTAAAGAAGAAAGAAGAAAATCAAAACAAATTTAAAAAGTTTGGTCCCTGTGGCAGTGTACCTTTAACGCTGGCAGCATTTCCTCGCTGTATTGCGAGACTTATTCTTTGAGCCAGGAAAGTGCCAGCTCTGTGGTCACCGGTACTATCTACCAGGCGCAAACTTAAATCTTTAATAGGCGCCTGTGCACTTGAACCCCACGGCCCAAGAGTCTCTACTCCAAAGGGAACAAAATTGAAGTTGGAGGAAAGACTCTTATATTTGTGCCGTTTGTTAATTTCTGCCTGTTCTGCGGCCGCGCCAGCTTTTTTGCTTGTCCGAAGAAGATGAGACGGGGCAAAGGTGTCTACACAGGTAGCATCCCATACTAAAGCCCGTCCCATTTTCCAAGGGATCAAAGACATTCCATCCGGCCGCTTGCCATTTATTTACTTATGTATGTCTGTCTTGGAAACAGAAATTCTTTTTATTTTTCTTAGTGAAAAATATTTCTTCACTGCTGTCACTATCACTGTCAATAACTGCAAGGCGAATCACTCTATTTTCCAAAATTTGTATTTTTCTTGTATCGTACGCCATCGTTGATGATATCGAACGCTACGTTAGATCAGTTAGATAGCACAACACTAACTGGCCGGGCGCGCGCTCTGTGCGGTATCGGGTCGCCAGCTGCCTGTTGGGAGGGCGGGCTGAAATAGGCCCACTGCCGCACTCAGCGGATGCACAGCAGCGTCAGTGCGTGGTAGGTCGATAAAAGCCTGCCGTTATGTTTTGATGGGGAACACCTACAATTTTGACCGCAAGATGAAATATATATTTGTCCCTGTCGAATTTTTACAAACACCTGAGATAATCGTTTCGCACCAGCGAGAGGGACATAGATTTCTTCGTCCGCACCAGCTGAAGTACCGCGGCAGGCCGCTAACGGCCTGTTACGCAGTGAACGTGTTAAGGAACAATCCATTTAAAATCCATATTAATATAGAGTATTAAATTTAAGCAGCTTTCTCCAATATTTGTATTATTTGATTCATCAAATCAACATTAAACGTCGGAAATGTTGGTATCTTATAGATAAAACAAGAAATATCCGTATTTTTTATTTAATGACAAGTGCAATAATATATCTAAACTCCTTATACTATCACAGATTAAATGCTTCTTCAATTTCATCTATTGGATCTTTGTTAGAATCATTCAATCTTGGATGTTGGGGTGGTGGAACTAAAAATATTTTCTTAAGATCTTCTTGAAATCTATCATTCAGCTTTTTCATTGTAGGATTCTCACCAACTTCATTTAATATAGAATTATTCAAGAACCTTCTCAGGTCGACTTGGCTAATCATTGTTGGTTCATGCGTAGTTTTTAAACTCAAAAAAGGTTCCACGAGATATTTTGTATCATTCTGTAATTTTATCGTTTCCTGATTTGATTTACTTCGAGTGCTTTTGATCTGAGTGTCACTATCGTTACGCTTTATTCCAGTTATTTGACTTTTAAATGCAGTGTTATTGGCTTTATCATTTGCATCTAGAGATGTTGTTTTAGTGGAATTTGAGGTGAGTCTAGTTGTATTTCTCGTGGAAAGTATGTTTACTATTTTATCTGTTGTTAATGTCTCTGTGCCCCTAGTGCGTTTAGTTGTAATATTTTCAAGGAGTTTAGTTCCTTTCCAAAATGCTAGTGTTCCATAGGTCTTTGTCGTTAATGTAGTTGTTACAGTTGTATTAACATTTGTATCTTCTGTTGTGCCTAATGTTGCCAAGTCGTTGCTTTTTCTAAATCCACGATAAACCATTTCTGGTGTTTGTTTGTTTCGCAGTTTGTATAAACTTCCGAAATGGTCTACTTCAGCATGGTCTCTAATTTGAAATTCTTTTTTAAGTATTTCTTCAGATTTAAATGCTGTTGTGGCCTTTATAGTTTTTGCTCTTTTATTTTCTTCGTGTTTCAACGTTGAAAGATTTGATTTTATCCTAAAAATAAATGAAATTAAAATCATTACATTATTGAGAACTTTACCTGAATTATGTTTTCAAGTTAAAGTAATTACGGTTAACGAATCCACAGTGTAACACGTTATATTATATAACAAGTTAATTTCTGATTTTAGGCTGATTAAATTTTTTATTAGGTTTACTTACCTGAAACGCTTTATGTGCGAATTTTGAGAGTTCGTGAGTTTAGGATTTGTAGATTTATGTAAACCGATATTTATATTAGTATTAATTCTACTTATTAGGCCTTGTGTCGTCTTTTTATTCTTTCTCCTTTCCTTCTTTCCTTCTTCTATGTCGCTCTTTCTTTCTTGACTTCTCTTGTCATTTCTAAAATAATCGGTGGTTTTTTTATTTTTTCTATTTGATCTTGTCATATAGCTTATGATCTCAGGATAAAGTGTAACAAATGTTCTATGGCGTTTGCTTTTTGTTTTCCTATGCATTGTAAATGATTTACTTTTTTCAAAATAATTGTTACGGTCCTGTGTTGATTCTTCGTTATCATGTTTTGAAATAGATAATTCACTCTCTGCCTCTTTGGGCTTTCTAGTTCTCCTTCTTTTTATTGTACTTTTCGTGTGTTCACTATTATTTTCATCTTGAGTTTCTCCATAGTCCATTTTGAGATCCAGAATATCATCAGAGTTGGTCAAACTGATATTGACTTTACCTTTCCTATTTTTAGATCTTTCTTCCTTCTTCTCTTGGATTTGGTATTCTTCATTCGTGTTTATCTGGTACTTATTTTCCTTACTGTTTCGATTTACATATGTATCTCTTTTGGCATTACTAACATCTTTTAAAATATCAAGGTCATACAAATCGTCATTATCTTCTACAGCTTTCTTTACTTGTCGATCCCATTTATAATCCTTCTTAAGATTATGTACAGGCATCTTTAAATCTTTATAGAATATTTTGAACATGTGCCTTATTTTTCGCCAACTGGAATAATTAAGATTGCAAATATAATCTTTAATGAGAGATCGTATGCTTTTCTCAACAACCGTGCGCAGCGTTATTGTTGGCTCCATTTGCCGACGTCTGTAAAGCTGTAAGTAATTCAAAATACTTCTAAATCTCTCTTGAGTGCGTCTTTTGACTAAAGAATTGAGAAAATTATAAATCCTACGTCTTTTTTCTCTCTTAGTCCTCAGTTCCCTTAAAATGTTATCTAAAGATCTTCTAATTTCCGTAACTGGTAAATTTCTTGCGTCTGAAAGTTTGTCAGCAAAAAAGCTTCGTAAGCTGAATTCGTTGGTTATTTTAACTTCGCAGTTTCGATAATCGTGTTCATTTATTTCTGTATCAAGCAGTTCTATAAAATATGCTAAGTCTAGATCGTTATAAGATTTCAGTACATTTATAGAGTTTTCTATGAATTCTGTAAAGGTCAATGAATCCATTCGTCTGGTCTGATAATCATTGGCTTGATATGAATTATCTATAGTATCTTTTATGTTAGTCAAGAAGCCTTTGACAGTTTCAACGAATCCAACATCTGTTTCATTGTTGAATTCAAATACAGTTTCCAGCGCTAAGTTGACGCTTCGTGGTTTTGCGCATTCATTGTGACCTAAGAATGAAAGTTTTTAGTAAATCTAAAGTACAATTTGTTAAATTATATCAAACGAGTAGCTTCATTTCTTAAATTGGTTTAGGATGCCACTTCGAGTAGGTGTTGTTTGATGAACATCACTCAAAAGTCTAAAAATGAAGGCCTCCTTTTTAGAATTGGTAAAAACCTGAAGGTTTTTGAATCTAATTTATGTATTTAATAAATTAAATAAATTATGTACATGATAATAATAATATATTACAAACCTAGGAACAAAAATAGAAAGTACAGAATAAAACGCATTTTCGAACTATAAAAAATAAATAGAATTTTATGGTAATCATAAAAATAAGTAAATGTATTGCAGATTAAAATATATAAGTTTGTGCCTGTTTGTCATCAAAAAATATTTAACTAATTTCAGAATAATATTTTTATTCGAACTCGAATAGTAACCCTAAAACTCAAATAGTAGAGCCTTTGCTATATCAGGGTGCAAAAGGATATATTTTAGTAAACATGTCATATAAGATTCTATATCTTTTACTATATGACAATACATAAAAATTGTATAACGATACGTAAAAAATCTTACTGCTAGATCAATGTATATGTATATTTGAACAAAAGACACATTTCTATTAACGACTATGCATATAAAACAACGTGAGCATACTAGGGCTAAAATCTCTGTTAAATGCCATTAAAACTCATACTGTTTACAGTGATATTTGATATTATATTCTTATCGGCTGGTATGTAATACTATTGTTAACTCTAGCGTTATGTATTTATCTACTATATATAAGAACACGTCTCTGTATATGCTCGTTCTGGGATGTGTACGTCAACACAAAGGAGACAAAACTTGAATTAGTGTTCATATGTCATCCTCATCAAGATTCAGTAACAGAATTGTTATTAATAATAAATAAATAGTATTTATAAAATCGGAAGCACAGATTTATTATAAACTATGCGATAGATTCGGGTTATCATATACTTTTTATATATTACTTAAATAGCCGATCTTACCATTTATTATTTTAAGGTGAAAATTTTTAAAGCTTTAATAATAATAATTTTGAATCTTTGCCTCAGATTTCTGTATGTGATTCGTCATTGAATTTTTTTTCTTACATCATTTCATAAATCACCTAGATATGTGTCGGACACACGCCGTCGATTTAAGGTGTAATTCCTTACGATTCATTCACCGTACAAGGGAATGTTATGCTGTGATTCGAACACAGGATCACATGGTAGATAGGCGCACTTTCAAGCCTAGGCCAACACTACTACACGTACTTGGTACTAGGTACTTATAAATATATCTGTTATTACGCCAAATAGTAGTAAGGTAACACAATTGATTTCCAGCTACCAAACCATGGACAGTCAAAAGCAAATATCTGCTAAACAAAACCGATATAAAAACAGGCAAAGCGATAAGAAAAAATAATTTTCACGACTACAACTTCGACGACTGGGAAGAGACAACGCCATTACTTTACTTCGATGATACAGTCGACACAATGAATAAAACTACAGTAAATTCTACACCAATTCAGGAAAATGAAAGTCTTGTAACCGATATAACGACTGAGGGAGCGATAAATTCAGATGAAACAACAACAGTTGGTGATGAAGAAGCGAGAAGCCCAGAAACAGTTGCACCTTCAAACGCAACCGTTAAAGATATGTTAGAACACTATTTGACTACAACGGAAGCGGACATTTGGACTACGGACATTCATGTTATTAACAATAGTAAGTGTATGTAGTAGGTTTTTTCAAAATTCAACAGGCCATATCATAGATAATATGATTTGTTTTGCTGTACGAACATATGGAGTAAAGTAATCATTGTGTCTCCATACAAATGTTTTTTGATAGTATGGAATATCAGCTATACTCTGCGGCAGCGGCGGATCTCTTTAAGGGCTTATGGGCTGCAGCCCTGGGTCCCGTGGATACAAAGGACCCGCAGTCACCACTGAAAATAATAGGCGATATTTTGAATTAACAAAAATATCTGAAATTTACAAAATACAATTCTTATGTTGGAATCTATGAGATCAATCAACCCACATGCGATGCGCGTCTATTGAACGAAACGGTGAATTCCCCGTCGCTGGTCGGTGTATTTTTTCGCGTGGGCAAATTGACGATCCGCCCATAATCTTGCCGAAGGTTTTCTTGAAGGACCCTATTGGAAATACATCGGTGGGCAGCTGGTTCCACATAGTGGTGGTCCGCGGCAAAAACTGCCTTAAAAACGCCGAACTTTAATATAAGACGTATTACAGCAATATCTACAATGGAAACACAACCAACAGTCGACCCGTTACTTTTACAAGTGAAGGCTGTGATGGAAGCTCACAAATTTGGTTACTTCACCTCGTTATTGATAGTTTTTATGGGGATGGTAGGTTCTATGGACGAGAAACCTATAGAACCATTGAAGGATGCATTTTATAAGGAAATTCAGGGGTAACATGTTTTTTTTCTATGTTACAGGAGGAAAACAGACAGGACGCTCACCTGATGTTAAGTGATACCGCCGCCCATGGACACTCACAAGTCTTCTTAATACGATATTCGTTAATCTTTAAACAAATGGAACTACAGTAATCACTCTTTTTCTACAATAATTTTAAAACGATTTTTAAATTATTAATAATAAATATCTCTCTATTGATAACTAAAATTGTATACAAGACAGAACGTGTATATTGACACAATTTTTTTTTAAACAGATTTCACGTGAAAGGACATAGCGAAAGAATGCTACACAATCATAGTGATTTAATAGTTCCACTGAGGAACTGTTCAAATCAATGAATTTTACATAGGTATATAATATATGTATAAGTTGCATATAGCACGTTGTGCATTTACATCTAATATAATGTTTCGGCAATAAGGGTAACATACGTTGATGTAAAAGAGTCTTAGTTCGCGCTGTCTCGTTTTTGAATCTCACCCTAACAAGAAAAGTATTGCGAGCTCTTACCGTGTATGTAGGCAAACAATTTTAAAAGAAACAATATCTACGAGCAAAGGCTAGAGTAGTATGGACTCAGTTTCCGCACTTACACCCCCATTTGTATCGTAAGCGTTAAGTCCTATATTAAGCCTCCAGAAACTCGAGAGACTTTCTGTTCGTTGGGAAGCCACAGCAACGCATTCCAGGACTACGTGGGTGAAGAGCAAATGCTAATAACTAGTTTTGTTTTAGTGCACAATCGAGGGGTCGCTTAAATATGTTTGGTCCCTTGGCAGAGGCTGTTTTATTAGATATTGCAGAAATGATCGCACTACTACCCGCTGATCAAATAAAAAGTAAGATATCGTAATGATAGCATAATCATATGTGAGTAAGCTAACACGTTTCATTACAAGATTGACGATTTGGTTAAAACAAGTGTAATTGCACGTAGTAGTGTAAGTAGTAGTGCATGCGTACAAAGTACACATGTCAGAAGTGAAACTTCTTTGGCAAACGAATTTTTAAATCTTGTTCATATTTATACAAATCTAAAACTTTAGATTTCAGAGACTTACCGGGAGGGAAAAGAAGATATGTTAGGAATTTAATGAATAATTGTCATTAAAATATAAAAATTAATACAAATTATAAATTGTGTAGATATAATAAAGTTTTTTCTATCTTTCATTCAAGTTTTGTTTTTTACATTTATTTCTTCGATAGTAAAAACACGTGGAATTTTAATTTACAAATCGTCATTTGAAATTTCAATAAATTATTTTGCATAAAATATATAATACTAATATTTCATAAATTCTCTCTACGAAATTTTAATTTAAAAATAGAATTTCTATAAGTTAATTCACCCTTCTCACTCTCTCTCAATCGGTCTCTATCGCTCTCTCCCTTCCCTTTATCCGTAAAAATTTTACTCTCATGCGCCTAAAGAAGTTTCACTTCAAAAACATCGTTTGCCCTGCATCGAACTCAGGCTAACAATATAAAACGCTAAGCCGAACCACAAGGTAAATTTTCCAGTTCATTTGTCTGGACACGGTCTGTTTTATTTACAATCTGCTTTTCTGCTGAGTTTTTTATTTGGATCTTATTTTCCATATCATTTAGTGAGAGTGACAGTAAATGGAACACAATGTTTTTAATAAATAGTCACATAGTAATGATGAACAAATGTGTTTAGTCTTTCATACTGACTAAACTATATAAATTTTCATTTCCTACTTCATGTTGGTGAAAATGTTTAAAGCAGATTTTCATATCTGTCAACACACTTGGCAAATTTCAACCCTTTTAACTACTTTCTTGGCTACAAATTGTAACAAATGTTTTTTCAAGATCACCTCTATTCAACTCTATAAATTTTCATTAAGATCTATTCAGTGTATTAAGTAACATATCCTTTCGCAATTTCTGATTTTAGTAATTATAATAATAAATTATGTAGCTAATAGGTATACCATTCTAATGGTCCTACGAAACGTAGTTTACGATTTGTACTATACAAATTACCTATTTAAACAAAGCATATTCCCCTTAGTTGTATTGTTTAGTTCCAAGTACATCCACGGAGCGCTTTAGATTTCCTTACAAAATGTATCGTTTTATATTACGATAACTATTCCATTATTCTGTATGTATTCGTAAAGTTTTAACAAATAAACTATACTATAAACCAATGAACTAAAATCAAATTTTCTTGCGATTCAAATGACTATCAAGAAATTTCGCACCTAACACCAAATACATATACATAATCCACATATTTTTGTGTAGGTCAAGCAGCAGCCTACCACGTCCAATACGTAAACAGACGAACAATGTTCTCCCCTCAAACGAACGCAATTTTCGATGTATTGGATAGTGCCTTCGAAACTGGCGATGCTATGAGTGTTTTATCCTGTTTTGCTGATATTCAAGCATTTCCCAAAGTAACTAAAAAGGCTGAACACATTTCTAGAGATTTGATAGAACATGCGTTATACATCCCCTACAGTAGAATCAGAGGAACGGCGAAGGATAAAATATTGATGTTGGAATTGGAGAATGCTATTAAGAATCGGATGACGGGATCTGTGAGGAGACATCAGGCTAAAAGTATGTAAATTTTTATAGTTAAAAAATAGGTAGAAAAAAGACCGAAGTTACTTTATCTAGGTAAAGTAAAAGAGAAATTTGCTGAGTGATTTTTTTTTTCAATCTTAGCCACCTTCTGTATATAGATCATATTTTATTGCTAATTTTATACTCTTAACTATCGATCTCTTAGTCAATCTATATACCTATAGATGCTTCG